ACTGGCAAATGAATGCACAAAAGTAAAAATAACTGATCTAAGTGCCTGTAGCACAAGAACATGGAAGCAGATGTCTGCTTAACAAGAAGTGTTTGCTGCTTTTTTTCTAATGATGGTAGTGAGACAGGCAACACACACAAACAGCACTCCTCTCAATGTTGCTGAATAGATGAGAAACTAAGTAAAGTTAAAAGCCTTACTCTAAAAGTGATGTGAAAGTGCCACTCAAGTACTTGTGTGATAACTGCTTTTTAAAGGAATATATAGTTGGGGACTGGACTGGTGATCCTGCAGTCTCCTCATGGAACTCAGTGCCTCAGTTAGGTAAGTCTGCAACTTAGCACCAGTTTATTACAAATGCTGGAACAGCTGCAGCAGTTCATTTCCCCTGCTTCACGCCAAGTGGCTGTAAAGAAGAGAGGATCATCCTCGCCTTGGCAAGAGATGAGAGCGATCCTGGAATAACAGGTGATTCCCTGGCCATGCTGCACTCTGATGAAATCTTCTTTTCTCCTTGTTCCATCACTTTCTCTGGAAGAATATTTCCAGCTTCAGGCTACTGTGTGAAAACCATGTCATCAGCTGAGTGCCATCCCGAGGTTAGGGAGGAAGGGACCTCCTCATTCAACTCACCTCATTTTGAAAGGGGGATCTCTGGGCAGGAAAACCAAATGGTGCCCTGCAGCTCCACTGACAGCAGAGAAATGGCTGGGAGTTGGCTCCAGTGCTGTCTGCAGAGGAGGATTCAGGATTCACCTGAAGGAGAATCGTCACAGAATCATTGAGTTGTTTAGGGTAAAAAAGATGTAAGGTCATTAAGTCCAACCATTAACCCAGCACCACTGTGTTCACCACAGAACAATGTCCCCAGCTGCCACATCCACATGCCTTTTGAACACTTCCAGGGATTCCAGGTGATTCTACCAGTTCCCTGAGCAGCCTGTTTCAGTGCCTGACCACTCTTTCAGTAAAGAAATTTTTCCTAATATCCAACAACCTGCACAACTCAAGGCCATATCCTCTAGTCCTGTCACTTGTTACCTGGGAGAAGAGACTGGGTTATCTCAGAAGCAGGCAGTGAATGTGCCACATTTTATTTAAAAGCCTGAAAAATCAGAGGCAGAACAGCAGAGGCTGCCTTTGCACATCACTGTGTTTCTCACCTTTTGCATGACATCTGGAATTTACACTTATCATGTCTGAAGGACTTTTGTGCTAAATTCAAATGCACACAAGTTACAGACCCCAAGTGGATGTCTTCCCAGTGACTTCAGTGAGAGCCAGACAGGAACTCAGAACTACAGGAAATTTTCAAGCTAACAGAAGAAAATTACTTCAATTTAAAAGCTAGCATGAGATTTCCAATAAAATACACATAAAAAGTAATGTTAAAAATGTAGCATAAGCCAGGTAAGTGGAGATGGTTAAGCAGCAAAGTAAATGATACTGTTTCCATAAAACCGGGAAGGTTCTCAGTTATTTTGCTCACCAAAATGAAATTATTGTTCACATTCTACAATAAGGAAAGACCTAATCACTGCTATGAGGAAAATAAAACGTGCTTACATGTCAGTACTGCCTGTGTCCACTGACATGGAGATTTCCTCTAAGGAACAGATCCTGCACCTGGACTCTGGCAGCAGTGTTAAGGGAAGCTCATACATACACCAAACCACTCCTCTGTGTTTCTGGATTTGAAGTTGTGATTAGCTTTGTTAATGCCTCTTTTCAGGACAAGCATTGTCTAAACCACTCCCCTCAGTTTTCAAGCTCCTTTTTTTTTTTTTTTGTAAGATTTTACTTTAGAGTAATCAGCTAACAAAATAGATATTTCAACTGATGCAATCACGAAACACGTTTTATCTTGTAATAAGGAGATGAGAAACCAGTACCTGTAGAATCTTCCTCATATTGACAGGTGTGTTCTCCCTTCAATTCCTAGAGGGTGAGCAGTGAGGATTATCAGAAGGACAAACAGCAGAGCTTTAAACTAGCATTGAAGGGGGAAAGGGGCTAAACCAGGCTCGGCAGTGGTGAATGCTGGGATGATGTGACAGAGCTTGAGGAAAGGAGCACTAATGGGATCTCTCAATCTGCTTCACCAGGCGTTGGCTGAAATGCATGACACCTGAAATGTTCCCAGAGAATTGGCATCACTGGCATAAGTGAAAACTGGTGGGATGAGTCCTGTGACAGGAATTGTCCTGCTGGAGGGTTCTAGGCTCTTCAGGAGGGGCAGGCAGGGGGTGCTACTGTAGGTAAGAGAAGGGGTAGAATGGAGATCACATCTGGCAATGGCACAGTTGAGAACCTCTGGGTAAGAATCAAGAAGCAAATGAATAATGTGGATGTCATTGTGGGAGTCTCTAATGCACCTCCAAGCCATTGGAGCATTTGGCAATGACAAATCATTTTTGAGCAACAAAGTGTCACTTCCAAGTCAACTTCCCTTGTCCTCATAGAACTTCAACTTGCCAGGAATCAATTGGGAGCATCACACGGCTGGTACAAGCCAGAAGATTCCTAAAAACCTGGATGACTTTATGAAAACAGGTCCTAAGTGAGCCAACTCAGAAAGATGCCCTTCGTGATCTGCTGTTTGTCAGCAGAGAGGATCTCATAAGCTAAGTGGAAATTGGTGACCACAAAGTGATCAAGTTTAAAATCTCTGGTGACACGAGGAAAAGTGCCAGTAAAACCTCAACTCTAGACTTCAGGATGCTCACATTACTACCAAGTGAAGTCTCCTGGGACAATGTTTTTGCAGGTGCTGGGGTCCGTAAGTGCAGTCACTTTTTAAACATCACCTCCTAACAGCACAAGAACACGCAACTCCCAAATGTTGGAAGTCAAGCCGGGCAGCCAGAAGGCAGCTTGCTTGAACAGTAATCTCTTGGAAATAAGGGAAAAAAAAGGAAGGTGCATATCCAGTGGAGGCAAGATCAGGTGACATAGAGGAATACAGAGATGCTGCTCCCCACTGGAGGGGGAAAATCCATGTGGCCAAAGCTCACCTGCAGTTGAACTGAAGTTGCCAGAAATGTGGAGGACAATAAAAAGTTTTTTCAAACATATTAATGGCAATAGGCAGTGTAGAAACATCATCAGCCCATTCCAAGATGAGGATGACCACCTCACAAACAGGGAAGAAACAAAGCATAGGTGTTTAATGCATTCTTTACCCCTGGCTTCAGCATTAGTGATGGACTAAGGGGGTCTCAGGTGCCCTAAGCTGGAGGACAGTGACTGCAAGAATGATCAAACCCCAGCCAACCCTGAATCTGCTGCTGCTCCACCTGGATCCCTATAAATTGATGTGGCCTGATGGGATTAATCTAAGAGTCCTCAAAGAGATGGCTGATGTCATTGCAAAACCTCTCTTTGATAATTTTTGAGCAGTCTTGGGAATCCAGAGAGGTCCCAGCTGACTGGAAGCTGGTGCACATCGTCCTTATTTTCAAGAAGGGCAAGGATGACCCTGGAAATTACAGGCCTGTCAGTCTCACTTCAGTGCCTCGTAAAGTTATGGAGATTATTCAGGGAGGTACTGAAAAACTCCCGAAAAGCAACAATCACTCACTGGTCACAGCCAGCACAGTTCCATGAAGGGAAAGTCCTGTTTATCAAACCTTACTTCCTTTTATGACAATGTAACCCGCGTAGTTGATATAGGAAAGCCACTAGATGTAATCTTTTTGGATTTCAATAAAGCTTTTGGTACTGTCTTACAAGAGTTTTTTTGGGCAAAATGTCCAGCACACAGCTGGGTAAACACATCATGGGATGTGTGAGCAATTGGCCCATAGGTCAGGTACAAAGGGTTGTAGAGAATGGGGTGACATAAGACTGGGGACCTGTCACTAGTGGGGCTCCACAGGGCTCCATCCTCAGCCCTGTGCTCTACAATGTCTTCATAAATGACCTGGATGAAGGCCTGGAATGGATACTAAACAAGTTTGCAGACAAAAAATGCCTTTGATGCAAAACCTCTACTGATTTTACACCTTGACTTTCTGGAGAGCTCCATCTGCTTCACAGTGCTACCCAGCAAGGGATTGACCACTTTCTCGCAGACTCCAGTTGAGGAGGCCATCCCTCACCTCATTCTGCCACAATTAACAGGATGTAATGGCATCCTCAATTAATTTTTAATATTATTATTTTCAGACCACCTTTCCTGCAGAAAATTTGGGGGAAGTTTTCTAATTTGACTCACTTGCTAGAACTGGGGAGGTGGGGGCTGTGTTGTCATTCTGACTAGCCTACACACTGGAGCCTTAAGGGCTTTACCCTTAAAGGCCCCTTTTCCAAATCCCAGAAAAAGCTAACACCATGCCTACCAGCAGCCCAGCAGGCTTTCCTCTATAACTGAAGACAAAACATGTAGCAGAAGATGCTCAGTGAAGATGCTAAACAAGTGACTGCTACATTGAGAAGTTTTCAGAAAGGAAGACTTCTGATCTTTGTCTGGCAGGACTGACTTGTCTCCATAAAGATACATGACACTACAGTGCCAGTCAGAACATTCTACAAGCACACTGCCAATATTCAGGATAAGCCAAATACTAACAGAAAACAAACAGAAAAATAATGAAATTTACGTTACTAATGTTGAGACTATTAGCTCATATTAACATATTATTCTTAAACCATGCATCAGTCATGCAAACCTGTGTTCCAGAACCCTTGTGCTCTGGGGCCTCCCAGCTACAACAGACATTTTGCAGGTATAATGGTCAACACAGAGATCAAATCATACCACATACACCATCATTTTTAACCTGAGTGTCCCTTAAGAGTCTTCACATAGCTCTGAAGACAGTTCATTCATCAGAGGAAGGAGACAAGCAGACTTGTCTTTAAATAAGGTGAAGAAATACTGTTTTCACAAATGTTTTTGCAATTTTTTAGAAATTTAGACTGAACAGCTATTTTTTGGTAAACTCTAGCAGATTTATGGAGATATTACCAGGAATTAAAAAAAAAGCAAAACAATAATACAAGGTGAACAGACCATAACTTTATTGGAGATATACTCAGCTACAATTATTACAAAAAACTATTAAAGGTAATTGTGATCCATAAGGTGCAGATTGCAAACTTCTGCAGCATGATTACAGTATGAATGAATTACATTTTATGTCCCTTAAAGACAGCTGCAGCATGTGATGGTAAATATTTTATTGTCCATCAAATTATATTTGTTATACTTTCTACTTGATTTTAACCATCTTTTCAGTCACACTATTTACAATAAAAATGCCTGCAATTTCCAATTATTGTTCACAAACATTTTTCTCCCCAACTTGCTGCTGCAGTAAATTCTGAGTGCATCTACAAAGCAATTAAAGTAGTCTGTGGTTGCCATTCAAAAAAAAAAAAAGAGGGAAAACCCCAAGGACTTTATTGGATGAAAATAATTTTTAAGAATTGTAGTTAGCTTTGATAGAAGTTAATTTTAACTGCTAGTGGAGTATACTACAATGACCTCTAGATATTTGCTAACATAATTCATATTGAGTTACAGCTGATATTTAGATTACATTTGATAGTCATGAACTGTAGTGTTTAAAGTTTAAAATCTAATATGAAAGTAAAGAAATTAACTTCTTGAATATAAGAGCAATTGAAAAAGGATCAGTGTCAGTAATTAAGTACCGAAAATCAAAATGCTTCTTGCTTCATTCATATAAAAAATACAGAGCTTTCCATGAGAATGCGTTCATGGGGAACCCCATCCAAAACAAACCCAGAATACTGTCAGAGTCAAGTGCAGTATCACAGCAGACCACAATGCTATTTGTCATTTTTGGACTGTCTGTGTTGCTGTGACTGGGATACAAAGAATTCATTTTCTGTACAGATAAATGCATAGAATATGTAGCATATGTTATGTCATATGCAGCAACATAAACCCCCCACATTTTCCAGTTGATGGTTCTGTATCTGCTCACAAGGAGGAAAAACAAAACTCTGCAACATACATACAAGCACAAGATCTTCAGGTATGTAAATGAATGCAGTTCCATTGACTAAAATGATACAACATCAATTTGCACCAGCTGAGGATCCAGCACCCCATCCCTGGGCCACCACTATATTCCTCCCCAGCACTGAAACTGGTTCTTGTTCAAGTTCTGTACTCGGCAGTTGCAACATACTACTGTGTAATGAGACTTAAAAATAGTAGGCTTTTTTTTTTTTTTTGTATGGACTTTAGCAGCATCATGCTGAACAAACACTTCAGAAGTCACTATTGGGCACTCAATACTCAGACTGGACAGATTTAGTTGAGGTTGACCAAATTACTAGGGGCTGGCTTCTCCCAAAAATTACATTATATGTGTAAAATGTTGGTTTGTTCAGAGATAATTACTGGAGTGTCAGTCAGAGGTCATTCTAATTTTAATTACTTCACATAACAGTAAAATGATGTAGTAGAAAAATAATAGCTTTAAAATACAATCAAGAGTTGTTACACATCTTTGTTGTATTTTTCCACGTACAGTAAAAATGCCACAGACGTTAAAAATGACCTATTTAATGTTGTGCAAGTAAATGACACATTGCAGGCATTAAAAACTATCTTTTTCAAAGTCATTAAATCAGAACAGCAGCAAGGCCAAACCACATTTTTCCTCTCTGTTAAGCATTTTTTCCTTGAAATGAGGTAAAGCATGGTACCAAGTGCAATGCTTATTTGTGCTACATGAACAGAACAGCGCAAAAAAAAAGCCATAAAAATAAAAACGCAGCATAGTTAGGAGGACTGTTTAAAGTACAGTATAACAGGACTTAGATAAAAAAACCCCAAGGTTCATGCCAATTAACCCCCACACTATTTATGATGAGCCTGTGTGGCTGCTTTTGAAGATGGGCTGCAACAGTCCGCTCACACTTGTGCTTATAGCATGTCAAGTGATTTCTATCCCAACCTTCAAATGACCAGATTTAGGTCTTTAATAGCGTACACTGTCCAGTATCAAAATCATATCAACTGTAGGGTAAAACACACAGATGTATAACATGGAAACTAATATGGATTTTCTGCCTCAAAGGATAAATGTATTTCAATGAGGTCACACTGGAAAAAATCGCGGCATTTAGAACACATTTAAAAATGCATCAGCAGCAGAAACTACTTTATAGTCAGCCACTACACATTTTGGATGTCCAATTCATACGCTTCATCTAGTAACAAAGTGATCATTAAACTGTTCTGAAACACAGAGTAGGTTCAGCTGATTTTGTCTGCACCCAAACACTCCATAACCACTTCACTGCTAACAATTACCTGAAACCCCTGAGAATCTATAACCTTGTAACAATCAGTAAGAATTTTAGGCATTCAAAGAATAACTAAAATTTTAGCTTTTCATAATGTAATTAAAACTACTTAAGACTTTCTAGATGGTCTGATTTAATCTGCTGATTGATGTCTGGCCAGAAACACAACTGTTGACATCAGTAATCATGTATTTTCACTATGAAACTTCAGTCCTACCACAAAGAGCAAGCTACAGCTTAAATCAGTGACCTTTTTTTTAGTTTTTTAAACAGCTAATGCAAAGCAATTTACATTTGAGAATCTGGACTGCATGTTTTTATTGTTCCATATCACCGTATCATCTACATTGTAGTTCTTATACCTCCTTTCATGACTGAAGTACCAAACAAATACTATACTTTTTTATAAGCTAGTATTTTAATTCTTGGTTTGACTCCTGTAACAAGCAGCTTTCAAATACAAGAACAGTCCTTTTCACAGGCTGAAAAGTGACTGAGATAGCAAATATATGAATTTTTGAAAACTGTATTTCAGAAAAGCTTAATGTCTGCCCCTTGTCACTAAGGCATTTATTTTATTTTTTTGTTAAGAAAGCAAGAGCTGACAGTTTTTGTTTTGTTTTAGTGTGCATTTGTGAGGAAAGAAATAGGGTTTAAAAGCAGGAAATACAGTATTTGTTTGTAATTTAGTTCATAAGACACAGCATCAAGTTCAAACTATTGTGCTGGAAAACGTTAAAACACCTTGCTCTGCTTTCTCAAACTTCAAGCATAATTAACAGGGCAAAATTGCAGCAAACCTCTACTGATACTGGTGGGAATACAAGACCCACAGCTTTTTTTAAAAGGTAAATTAAGAGGTATTATAGTTACAGTGCAAAAAATTAAAATTTCAAGCATAATATATAAACATAGCACCAAAACAGAAAAAAACCCAATGCATGCAAAAATAAAAAGGAAAAGAAGAGAAAAAAAGAACTGAGGTATTTAAGTGAAGAGTGCCTACAAAACTCTAATTAAAGAAGTATAGGCAAAGCCTAAAATATACAAGTATGATTTCCCCCCACGCTCCCAGTAGACCAAAACACCAATGAGCTAGTTTCTCTAAATTAAGGACCTAAATCACAGATGTATCAAAAGTACGGCAGTTATATCTCAAACATCAACTTTCATGTTATTTAACAGCACAGCTTTGGTAGATGAAATATGCATGCAACTCTGAAAAGTACAGTAAGAAATTTACGTGGAAATATCTCTAAGTGTAAAGGTGCTCTGTTTGTTAAACACGTAACCAATTGACTATAAAATCTGCAGCATATCTTAGGTGTGATATGTCTAAGGTTATTTTGTTAGTGACAGTTTGCACTGTGCAATTATTTGTTGCTGTTTCCAGTATTGGAACTATCTAGCTTGCAGGTTTGTGTAAAATTGGAATTTTAGCCAAAGACCATATTTCATTTATGGTATAAAAAAAACTGTAGACTAACCACCTCCTCAGAATTGTTAAAAATAACCTAATTACATATATATGAATATAATTTCTATTATAATCCTGTAATAAGTCACAGCTATAGTAATGAGTTGTACTGTAAATATAGAGCTGTATCATTGTAAAATGCATAAGAAAATGAAGGGAATGTAAAACAGTTTGTTCCAAAAAAGATCAGAAATTAAAGATTATTAATGAGAGTTTATTTATTTTTAAGGCAAGAACCTTTTTTATGCAAGACTGTATGGCATAAGGAAACCGAAGTTTCACTCTACCAGTATGCCAGCCATTTCAATTAAAATCTGTCCCTAACAAATAAGTGCAATAATGATTGGGAATGCCATCTTAATGTAAAAAGATGACATGGAGAGAGAAAAAAAAAAAGAAAATAAAAAGGAGAATACTGGCACACTTAATCTTTCTTATACCCAATCATCCAGTACAGTTTATCAACTGCTTTATGACTGGCACTAGTGCACAGATTGAAGAATTCCAAGATTACTATATATATAAATCTAGCAACTGCATTAGGCATAAGCTCCCTGGCCTTCTAATACTAAGCAAAGCTGTACTGACAAGAAAAGTAAACCAAAAAGACCTGACAACAATTATTCTGAACACTTGCTAAATGTCATCATTAAAGCACTCTCGTGATTAAACAAAGCAGAAGTGAGGAAAGAAGACAAGATTGTGTTTGCGCAAAAAACTATAACTACAATTAGTTCCAAAATTTTATACATGTTAAATGTTTTGTTATCTATTCTGTTATCAAACAAACTTTAAATTCTGTCTTCCAATTTGTTCCTCTCAACATCAACTTTTTTTTAAAAATTTGCTTTATTTGTATGTTATTTTTTTTCCCCATTTCATTTATTTTTAAGAGGAGTCTCAGCTGTTTGGGACCTGAGGTTGATTTGCTTTGAGGCTTCGTAGTGCTCTTCTCGCTGCTGCAGATTTGGCAATCCTGTAGCTTCTGCCAACACCTTTAAACTTTCCCTTTCCTACAACTTCCACTGTAACTCTGACCTTTCCATCGTAAGTTCTTTCTGCAGGACTGCAAAAATATACACAAGAATTACTGCCAAGGCAAGGTAATATGAAATAAGAGACCTACATTCTTTATTCTACAGAAGTTAAAGCAGTAAAATTAAACAGAAATCATTACATTTCTCAGAAAGCTATGCAAGGAAAAAAAATAAGGAACAGTGGACATGATGATTAGGTTAGCTGCTTAGCACAAAAAAAATTACAAGTACTTTGTGACACATAAAAATTCTCTGTAGTTCATGAAGTACATTTTAGAAACACTTTCTGTCAGTGTGTATGGAAGAAAGCATATTCTTACCTAAATTTGGCTGTCTCTGGCTCCATTTCCAGCAGCTCTCGCACTGGGGAACGGGGCACATTAGCAGAAAATTTTTCTATTTGGAAGAAAAAGTGAAAAAAATTAGCTTTTTTCTTTTCATAGCAGATGGCACTTAATTATTAGTAATTTTCTGAAAGCTGGCAATACCTATGAGTGGCCTCATCATTGGATAGTACACTTGCCAAACCATTTCCAAAGACATTCCACTATCCATATAAATGGCACCAGCAAGGGACTCAAATATATCCCCCATGGCCTTTGGTACTTCAATGTCTTCCTCTTTTTCTTCATCTTCTTCAGATCTTCTGAGCTGTTGGCAATTAAAAAAAGACAAGGGTGGGAGTGAAAGAGAAGGGGAGGGAAAAAGAGAGAAATGATTGCTTCACTTAGAGTAAAACAAAAGATCTTCAGAAATGTAAGCTCTCTTACATCTTATATCCTGTGATGCTTCTTTTAAGTTCGCAATTGACAACTTTCCACAGCAAAACTATTGTTCTATTCCCCAGTGAAACCAAGCTGCTGATTATATAATTTTTCAAATAGGGAAAAAAAGTCCTAAACACCATTGTGTATAGGGAACTTTTATATTTTGTGAATTCCTTCTGTGATAAATCTGTAGGATTTCACCATGGGTCTGTTTTCCCCTATTAGAACCAGACTTCTATCAGTTAATACTAGAAAGCTACCCATAACAAAGGAAAAGCTCACACATTATATATCTCCCAAAAAGAGACTCTTAAATCTCATAAGTCCAGTCTCTGGATGAAAGTTGCATGTACCTCCCCTTACCTTACTTACCCCTGAAGACAAATATGAAACAAGCACTAGTAAAATAAGACATTAGTAACTGAAAAACACCACCACCAGACCGAGCTAACAAATACATTTAGGTGTTGAAGTGCAGCAGGCAATGTATTATTCTATGCTACCAATTTAAGACAATAATCTATTCTCATTATCAAAAATAAACAATCAGTGTACATCTTAAAGGTCTTAAGCTAAACTAATCCTTTACTAAAATACTTTAAACACACATAATACACATTTGCCTAACCCCACACAAAGTTCTCTAACTTGAAAACAAAGATTTTGACCATTATGCTACTCTGCCAGAAAAGAAATAAGTTTCTGTCAGTCTTCTCTCCCAGCAGCTGCCCTCTCACTCCATTTGGGGTTTAAAATCCAATTCAGTCCTCTAAACAGTGACCATAATACTTCATAGATGTGTTCCACCCAATATTTCTACCTGAAGAAAATCACACAAGTAGTCAGACCTGATGCATACAGCAATACAAACGGGAATTTTAATGTCAAAAATCAAGTTCAACTGTTTTGAATAGGCTATTTCATACCAAGTGTAAACTGAAGCACTTTTGCATTATACTGAAATAACAGAAAAAGAGAGAAACTAAGAGCTGTAAGGCAAGGGACAGATGTTTCATGAGTGAGATTTGAAAAAATAGAAAAGCAGATGACGTGGAGACACACATGGAAACCAGTCTAGCTGGCATGAACTGCAGAAACAAAGACTCTTACATTAAGTGATGAAATAAGAGTTTCAGTAATTCAGTGCCAGACCAAGATAGGGAGCAGGCACAGGGAGAGCGAAACAAGGATTTTATTTGAAACAGCTATCACACAATTTGGTCACAACTTTGGTGAAAGTTTTTTTGGATACTTGCAAAAACTGAACAAATCAAAAAACAACACTGTTTTTTGCTCTGAAAACAAGTTCCTAGCCTTTTCACTCATATTGTGGAGAAATCAAGAAAGAGTTTCATTCTCTAAGGTAATTTATATTATCTAAACTTCAGTGACAAATTTCTTATTCAATGCTTAATAAGTTTTTCCCTTAAAATATGGTTTTCACTCTGCAACAGAGTACAAGGATTGTGAACACATGTAACTGAAATATTTTGACTCCTTAAGTTTTAAATTGTTTGTAAGAAAAAAAATTACTAAATACAAAAATAACATCCTTATTTTAGTCCTGGCATGTTGTCAGACAGAATATTTTTTAAGAGATTGGTCAGTTTTTCAGAAGACAAATTATTATGGACATCTACTGGGTAACATTAATGAGAAGGCCATCTCTTCCAGATCCTGATTAGAACTCGACTCACAAGGTCCCTCCTCTCACAGACTTCCTAACCAGTTTATGTAAATAAATTACTTTTATCACATTCCCCAGAAAATACAGGTTCATTATCATTAGCTTTCCTGCACAGCACAAAATATGACCTGTGTTTGCAGGTCTTCTATTTTTCAAGTGGCTTACTTGAAAGATGCATATAATGTTTCCCTAGCTAGCAGAATGCCTTTAGGAACATGTCAGACATACTTGAGTATAGTGCAGTAACATCTCTGCCAGTAGAAATCATAGGAAAAAAAGCAGAAATCTCTTGTCAGTATATTACATTTAATAACCCCAGAACTGTGCCACGGTAGCTTTGTTCATAGTGTTGTATGGATACCCTACCCTGAATCAGCACTAGGTGATTTAGAAACTCTTCACCACAATTTTATGTTGTAGTAGTGCTTCCTATGAATTAGTGAAAGCACCGAGCTAAGTGTGTGTTCCACACTGTTCTAACAACATGAGCAAAACGATGACTAAAATCAAGTGCCACAGAAAAACCCAGAGGCAAATGGCTTTCAAATTAATTAATTTGGGTAAATTCTAATTGATTTTATACTTTCTGAAGGCTGTATTTTACTTTGCATCCTTTTATTACCAGGTGTCTGCTTCATTGGCTGCTGTGTGCATAATACATTACAAAAATGCTAAGAAATCCAGTGACATGCTTCAAATTAGATACTGAACACATATTTCTTCTACTTCCACTAACCTCGGAATCCATTCCTTGCATTTCATTCTTTTCCATTTGAAACTGCACAAAGTCATCAATAACATGAAACAGTTCAGGAGAGACAGCTTTGAAGTACTTGTGGTAGTCATACTTTACAGCTAATGATGCAAAAATGGTATTATTGACTAGAGCAGATCGTAGATCAGTAAGAACTCCTGGAGAGTGTTGCCGTGGGTCTTCATAAAGGTGCTTGGTTATGAGGTAGTCCAAAATTGCATCTCCCAGGAATTCTAAGCGCTGGTAACAATCTTAAAGCATTGGAAATAAAAGAATGTACAACACCACAATTAAGTTTAACACACACATTCTTTCCAGACTTTCTGGATAAGAAGTTTGGTACAGTGCCATATAAATTCCACAAATTAACCAATGCTCAGAGAAGATAATCTGTTTTTTAAAACAAGTATCCTTGTGTTTAAAGAGATTGCTAATGAAATACTAAAAAAAAAGAAATCAGGAAAGCCAGGAGCTATATCTAATAAAAAGTCAATTTTGAACATAATGTTAATTTGGCAGCTAGAAAAACAGCTGTGTTTATAATCAATAATGTTTTTACTCACGGCTAATATCAAAAAGTACAATTTAAGAGTTTCTGCCAACAGGTTGATCTGAAAACTGTAACAGTTAAAACTAAAAAAATAAATTTAAAAAAGTAAAAATAATTAATAGAAAAATCAATGTATTAAGAGCAGGGGAACACAAAATCTGAGCTTTTTGTCTGATTTGTGTTAAGACACTTTCCACAAAGATCCCTATTTAGGATATGTCTTTTAAACTGGAAATCAAAATTGTCAAGCCTTTGTTTTTTTGACAGTCGAAGGGCCATGGGAACAGAGAGCTAAGAACTTCTATTTTTAGAATACAAACAAAAGCAAAAACCCTCTTGAATGCAAACACAAGTAGGTAGGTTGAGAAGGAAGAAGACAAACTACTGAAGAAGTTACCATGAGAGTGAACTGACTAGCACTAAGTTGCTTTTATAGCAGCTGAATCTAAGACACTGCCAGATCTCAACTGCTATCTATTCCTTAAAGAGAAAAGTCACAGGTAACAGACATTCACAGTTGTCTCCCTTGGTAAAGAGAAATGAAATTAAAAGTTTTCCTGCAGTTTCAACAATGTAATTTTAACTGGACACTATGCCTCGAGGTTTCTGGTACTGCATATATATATTTATGTATGTCTATAAATGAAGGAATCGTTTACTCTCAATATGTTTTGTGAAATATTTGTAAAAAGTGAATACATATGTGGGTAATATCCCCCACAACAAAACACCAAAGGAGTGCTTCTGTGTTTTGTCAAAACTGTTCCTCAGTGTAGAAGCATTTCAAAATTACTTATTTCTTTAATGAAAGCAGAGCTTTCTCACTCCTTGGAATAAGGACCCAATTCACTATGGGGAAAAAAAAAAAAAAATCAGACTGCTGACTGCAAAGAAATTTGCCAATCACTACAAATAGGGTTGGAATTTTAACATGATTTGCTTTTGATTGCATATTATTGTAGGAAAATATGCACATTTTAGAATGAACAAATATTACCTTAATTAATATAAGCAAGAGCAATTAAAGATCACAAATATGAGATCATGTACAGAAACATTAAATGTTAATCTGAAACTAATATTTAGTTTGATTTTAAATATTTACTCAATAAAATGCCTAGACTTAAATTAAGACTTTGAATTCACAGCTTCAAAGGGCAGTCTCCACATTCTGCACTCCTATAGATTATTCAGCTAATAAAAGCTGTAGTCTATAGTTCATACTCAGAAGTACAGACAAAGTGTAACTCTTGGGATTCAATTACAGAACAAATTTGCTAAATATATTTGGAAAATATGACTGCTATTTCCTGAAGTACATGGCAATTTTCCAGAGTTCTACAAGAACTTATTTCCCTTAAATGAGGATCTAATGTCAGTCATACACAGCTAGTGATAGAGCATTTATCACTGATGCTCTTTCTCAAAACTTGGTGAGGCCTCAGTAAATGTACTTTATCTGCATTAAGTGAAAATATGAATAATCATTGAGATAACAAACTGAGCAAGTATCTCCCTCTAAATAGTGAGCAAACAGTATTTTTTAAGATATTGTATTCCAAGACTATTGTAACATGTGACATCTAAAAAGAGTCTATATATGGGAATATAAGCTATCACTTCTCTTGCTTTTGCAATATAGAGAAAAGACTATAGAGCTTTTTGAAAACAACTTACCAGTAATGGTATTATAATGGTAAGAGGCATGAGTAAATGCCTGAAGAAGATAAGCCTTGTTCTTAAAACTATAATTTATTTTCTTCTCAAAGTTTTCAAAACCAGAAATAAGGTGATTTAGCGTTTTTTCAGCATCTGGGTGATCAAACATACACCTTGGTGGAATCTTCAAACAGCCATACTCCAGGTCTTTACACAGAGAAGGCTCTGAATTAGATACAGAAGCAGACACAGAATTCGGTGAAAGATTTTTCTGCTCACTGTTACAGTTCTCTCTGGTAGCACACAGAGTGCCTTCCCAATCAGTCTTTTTAATTACAGGGAGCACCTTCAGCCCTAATGAACACAGGAAAAGCTGAGCAGCTCTTTCACCACAGCTGGTCAGATAGCAGCCCAACAGGGCTTCCACACAGTCTGCAATGCTCTTGTCAGCAATACACTGCTCTGTATGCAAGTCATAGGAGATCGACTGTTTTCCTGCATCAACACCACAGTTTTCTTCTGATGGATTCCAGAAGCCCACTACAAAATCATCCTCTTCAACAGCCTTGCTAGGATCCAGATAGCACATAGCATCCCAAGAGCTGTAGTCAAAATCATCAAAATCTGATGAACACTGAACATTACCCACAGATGACTTTTTGGGTGCTTTCCATTCATAGTTTGAATCAGCAGTTGAAAAGTGTGAGAGTGAAATTTTCTTCACAAAAGCACCTGATCCCATTAACATATTATCAATGAATTTGATATGCTCCTGATCATACTCCAGAAAATCATCTTCAAAGTCTGTTTCTTCCTTGGGCAACCTCCACATTAGGTCTTCATTCTCTTCATCATCATTATAATCATCAAGCTTACCATTAGCCAACATGTTTTCCTTTGTCTATGAAAGAACACACAAAAAAAATGGTGCTGAAGAAGGAAATGAGATACTTTTACTGCAGAAAGATCAGAAAAGCAGGACTTGAAAAGTCTCTCCTAATAATAATACAGACTTTATGTTTCTAAACATTCTGATCAGATGCCCAAAACAACCTCAACTTACACAAGAACTGGAACAATTGTCCTGGAATACAAACTCTGTTACTAACCTACAATAGTGTGTTCTATACATAGCACACACTGTATTTCATAGGAACTTGTGCTTGTACTTGAATGTGAGGCACACACAATTAACTTTATAGTAATTAAACATTATACACTTGCACACCAAAGTAAACAACAGAAAATTCTAAAATAACAAATTTTGTATAAGGAAGCATCAGAAAGTTCCAGGTGCATCCTCCTCTCAAGCTACTACGTAAGGCTATTACAAATGTTGAATCAATGCAGTTTTGAAGATTTTTTTTTCTACATCTTTATGCATTTAGTGCATAAAATGCATTTAGAGGGGTTTTTTTCAGTTTTTTTTTACCTGCTATATTTCTAGTCCTAACTAATAAAAGGCAAAATTGTCATCAATTTTCTAATACTTACACAGACACCCACAACAGCAAAATTAATTATGTCTTATTTCTTCTCCCTCCTCATATCGATCAAATTGGTATGGACTGATGTAAATTACATATTGAACACAACTACTCCTAAACTATAGAATTCTTTACAATTTCCTATGGTCCCTATCCAGGAAAGCACTTAAACATATTAGCTACATGCACTGGTAGTCTTCCCAACATCAAAAGGACTATTAACAGGCTCAACACAGCAACACTGATGTCAGCAGGAATTCTGCCACTGAATTTGATAGGTGCAAGATCAGATTCAAAGCACTTTCCTGGATTGGGTCCAGAAAGCCCACAACATTCTGAATCAAGTGAAGCAGTCTTTATCTGCCCTGAATCTATGCATGTCGTATTGTAGGGCTCAGTCACTAATCCTACAAATCTGTGAATGAGATGCTACCATGGGGGATGCTTCCCTTGGGGCAAAATGCACACCCATCCAGAGGTGGCAGCTGAAAGGGGCACCAGGCAGCACTTAAAACTGTCTAAGGATCACACAAATCTCAGTGTTCCTCAGCAGGATGGACCAGGCTTAGTCAAATTTAGTAATCTGAAAGGAAAAAAAAGTGGCTATAGAAGTTCTTAATTGAGACAGTCTGCTGAAAAAATGTATGCTGCTGTAATTACCTCTCTCTCACACACAGAAGAGACTTCTGTAACTTAAACTGAGATATAAAAACTGGATTTAAGATAGTTATTTTAGATACCCATAGTAATATAAAACTTAAGATGAATTTAACCAGTCCTAACAAGGACAAGTGCTGCTTTTTTCTTGTTACACACCACCAGTCACATTTATTACTGAAATTTAAAAAGTCTCTGAGTAAGACGTGTCTATATGGATTCTCCAAAACAGATTTTGGCATCTGTTTTTACAAAGATGGAACAAATGATAAATTTTTACTGTGGTTTCATTGACAAGTTTCTTAAAATGAAATTGTAAGTAGCAGGACAGCTACATGAACTATCCTAACATTGTCTATACATTACTTCATGTACATTGGAAAAAAAACTCTAAGGGATAAGGGTGAGCAGATGGCTAAAGGAAACAGAAAGAAATTCTGATCATTAATTTTTTTGTCATTAGCATTTAAGAAATAAATTAACAATGAACCCCAGAAGAATGATTTTTTTCTTCAATAATACCTGACTAATTTTCAGGAAGTCATTGCCTACTAAAAGGTGATGCAAAATACACGTTAAGTGCTTTTTAAATGCTCTTTTGGAAATCAGCCATTTGATAAAATGAATGAAGAAAGATTCTTTCCCTTAATAAAGCTTGGTAAGTACTAACATTTGACTACCATGTTTTAGTAATAATTTGTCATATTGAGATCTCTATTCTCAGTTATAGACCATCAGCCCATGGATGGAGAGTGAAATTTACATCCAAAGAAAGCAAAATATCTACTTGGCACAACCCCCCCCCACTCCCACTATTTAGTTGTATCACTCTCTGCATTTTGGTCTGAAACCATATGCTTCATTTACAAATAAACAGTGACTATCACAGAGGAAGAGGCCACTGAAATGTTGTGGAAAACTGAAACCTTTTAAAAACCAACCATTAGCTCCAATCCCAAACGTACTATCTCATTTACCAGAAAGGTATAGCAGGAAGTCTCTCTGAAATGAAATCTTGGCACAGTACAGAACCACAATAATCAGGTTGTTTTATTCTGCAATAAACATTTATTTGCACAGTACATCCACCTAGCCGTACTCTCATGTGCCCTCTGGTGGTTCTACAGTCTGAGTGTGGTCTTCAGAACAGGAAAGAGGAAAGATGTCCTTCCACCTCCTTCCCCTGAACTCCAAACCAGTCTGAAACATTTCAACATCGTGTCACTGACTGCTATGATTGCTGATTTCTGCACATGTCCTTCTACTCCTAGAGTGTCAGAAAATAGTGTGAACATTTCCTCATTAAGATTTGTCATTGTCAAGCGTTTGGTAAGACAGTGAGGGTGTCATACAGTGAGAGAGCTTAAGCCAGCACTGCATTGACATGAGAAGCAGCTCTCAGTCATGGTGTAGCCACCAGCCATCAATATTGAACATTATCTTAAGCCGGTTCTACTCTTCAATCTGCATCAGCACTATGAAAAACACCAACACTTTCTCATATACTCTATAAAGGTGAACTCATTATTTATTAATAAGCAGACAGCGTTCTGCCTGAATATATTATAGCTAAAGCAATGATGAAAATACCATTTAAAATTTCCAACAGAAACAAAACTCCTGGGAGCAGGCTAAATATAACCAGAAAAGCTTTTCTTCTTTGCTTCCCCATTAATATCTATACCCAATACTGGACAATATGCAATCATCCACAAATTTCCTTACTTCAGGTTCTGGTTAGAATAAATTTTCCTCTCATTTTTCCTACCGAGAAGTTTTAGAAAGAAAATAAATGTATGGATATACCTTTGCTAACAACAGCAAAGCAACTGGGGGTGGTGGGATGAGGTAGGAGTGAAAGAATACAGACACACAAATAACTACTCGACAAAATAGTTAAATAAATTCATACCATTTCGTCTTTCTCCCACTTGTCAGTGTTGCTCTTGTCCTGATTCACTATGTAACCAGGAGGAAGCCAATTGACTGGGGGATCAAAAATCGACACCACCATGCGACTTGGCAGTCCTTTCTTTTTTCCAAGGCGATACAAGTTACAGTTGCTGACCTTTAAGAAGAACATTCTGATAAATCTTTGAACATACATTTACATAAATAGGCTAAAAGGCAAAAGGAGCAAAATGTTATGTGTCAAGCTGGATCTTGCATTATTATGCATTTTCTCCAACTCTCAAAGGGGAGTTCAGCTTTCATAATACAGTAGAACAAACTCAAAGCAAGATACGCATCTTCCTCTTTTTTTTTTTTTTCTGAGGCAAAGCATATTAGGTGTGACTGTTTCAGTTAAAGAAATTTAATATATCAAATTCTCCTCACAAAACAAACTGCTACTTTTAAAATAATAGGAAATAGAACTTGTACTACTGTCATTTATTACCAGTATAAATAATCATCATTCAGACTACATTTGGAATGAAAAGTTCTTATTTATAGGTAGATTGACCTAAACCTTGGCAGTAGAAAGTGTTAAAACAGTTCCATATAACACTTATTAAGTCATAATCCAGATGTTATTTTGATAGCCTCTAAAATTATTTTAAGTATTTCAAATGGAAGGGAAAAAAGCATTCTCAGATACAAATATATTTCCTTTTTAACTATTAACCACTGATCTTTTTTTCTCTTTTTAAATGCACTTTGCACATTTTGAAGTCTTAAAAGTTGAACTTGAATATTCAATAATTTCTTTTATTTGAACAGTGCAAGTTACTTAGTCCTCCTTCTTTTCCAAGATTAAACTATACAACAATTTCCTTTTCAGAGTGATGCATTTTATTAGAGGTAGACAATCAATGCTTTGGCATTTAATTGAAATTACCACATCATGTGGAAGAAAAAACAAAAGCTTTCACAGTTGATTATTCTAGCAGCAGAACTGAAGACTCAGTTCCCTACTGTTTATATTAATTCTAAAATACTTTCAAAAGTTTGGTTTCAACAGACTTTTTTGTTGTCTCATTTTTAAGTAAGATGCTAAAATTTCAAGGGAAGTGTCTTCTTGAGGAGACGAAGGAAAGGTCAAGTAAAGCTGCAGCCTAAGGCTCTGTGCTGCTAATTCAATCCTTCATTCAAGCATTACTGTTGAAGAGCTTCTACTCAATACAGTTCTGGAGGTTCAGTACACCCAATGTTCTCACTAACTCAGAACTTTTAGTTTCATTCAATCCTGTCCTTAGGTTTGTAATCAGCTGGTTTAGATTTCAAACTAAACTTCAGAAAACAGTTTCAATCAATCACAGTTATGGCAATATGAAGCCCACAGTCCTGTATTTTTATTCTTAATATGCATGATACTCAATGTATAATGAACGAAGCTGTGGAATTAAATCAACCTGTTCCCATTCAACCTTCCAGCAAAAATTTCATACGTCTGGCTTGTTACAGCATGCCTTTTACATAGTGTGACTGGATTGCTACTACTCACCTTTTTGCTTCTCATGTATGACAGTCGTCCCTCGTGAGCATCAGGGTAAGTGCAAAACAAGTATGTAGTGATGGCATGCTTTAAAAACGAATCACCAAGCATCTCTAGCCGCTCCAGGTTAAATCCATCACTAGCATTTGAAAGAGTCAAAGCTTGAAGAATGAGACCAGGATTAGGACCAAGAGTTTTTGAGGAGTACCCACTGCAAGGGCTCTTTTCAGAATCTGCTCTGTCTTTTGAAAGATTAATAGCTTTTGAAGTACTGGTGGTCACTGCCATTATGGAGCATCCATCTGAGGTAGATCTGTTAGCATTTCCATCAAGGTATTTATTACTCGGTAGAGTACATTCATTGCTGGGCTTGGGCTGGTTCTCACTATTGTATAAATTCTGAACGGGATATGAGGTAGTTGGTTGTACAGGTATTTCCTGCCTGCAGTAATTCAGCTGATTTCCTTGGCAAAAGTCTCTGTTAACTAAATCACAATTGCCATTGGCAAGATTTTTATTATAAGAAACACCATTAATTGCTGCAAGTTCTACCGAGACATCAATTTGGAGTTTATTGGGTGACTCATTGAGCAATGTTCTGTAACTCACAGACATTTGGTCATGGTTTTCTGCAGAAGAGGTTCTATTAGCACCTTGATGTGCAGCATTTTCAGGGACTACAATTGTGCTGTGCTTACAGTAATTTTCATTCTCTACTACAGAGGAGTTAGGAAGAGAGATGAAGGACTTGCTGTCAATAGATTTTTTCCATCCAAAGTCCAAGTTAGGATATCTGTAAATATAAACAGGAGGTTTGTTAACAAAAAATACTAGCAGAAGATGCGAAGACTCTACATGCACACATATGCCTAAAAAGAGCCACAGCCCTCTGAAAAGAACAGTGACTGCAACATGTAACTCTCACAATCAAGTATTTTTACACTGTGTTTCACTGAGAAGTGCCATGAGTTAAACAAGTTACCAGTTTTATCATTCATGCAGTAATAACTGTTTCCACCTTGTAAGTCAGATATCATATTGAAAAATACCTATTGAAAAATATACATGCCTGAAATCTGCAGGAAGTGATTTAACCCCTACACCAGCATCAGTGGCTGTTTGAGCTCTTAGTTCCTCTGCTGTCAAAAGGCAGTGCAGGCGGTAAAGTATGCTGGGCAGGCAAACTGCTTTTCTCCACAATGATGCTGGAATAGGATGTATAGCACAGAGCTCAGGAACCAGTATCTAGGAGAGGAAGGGGAAGAAAAGAATTTTCCTTGTAAAGGTAGCCACCAGATCACTATTAAGAGAGTTCACTTGAATTAGATGCTTCGATTTTACCTGTTTATTCTGCAAACTTTCCCACTTTGCTTTCCTCTTCTCAGCACTGCTTAATGGAAGTGCTTTTCCCTTCTGATTCAAATGGCGAGGAGTCAAAAGATTAAGTCTAAAAACCATGTGAAAATACTGTGGTGTAAGTATGTAATTAATGAATAGAACTTACTAGCCTAAACTTTCTTAAGTTTCTTAGTATTCAACTTCAATGCACTGTGAAGTGGCAGCACTATTACCTCTGGGAAAAAAACAGACTCAATTCTTGTTACACAAATTAGGTATCTCTCAAGAAAAAAAATCAGTAATTATTTTGGAAGACGCAAACCCTCAGCTTTATCCCATATTTAAAAAAGATAAAGAAAAAGACACTTTACTGTCAACCTACAAACATCAGACAGAAAATATCACTGTGGTTACCTTGAAGATGTGTGGTCCACATCCAGCAGTGGCTGGTTAAGATTGGTAAGGTCAAGATTATACTTTGTTTTATAATATTCAGCAAAAGTTTCATATTCAGGGGAAGGGAATTTACTCAGTGGAGTAAGGTCAGTGTATACATCAGCTACGTAGAATCGATGAGGCTGATCAAAATTTCGGTATCTAAAAAAAAAAAAAAGGCATTATTTCGGCATTACAGTAAAGCTTTTATGTTCTTCATGTTCTAACATGGTCAGAAGATAAACAGTTAAACAGCACACGAGATTTTTGGTTAATAAGGGTTCTTTTTGTTGTAGAAATCGTTTATTTAGCTAACTCAAATGCTAAATGAGAAATGTACATTAAGACAAAGATAAATAAAGGCATTCTATAATCTGTGAAATTCTCTCTACAAGATAAACATTTAAATTAAATTGAGGATTCAGGTCTTCAATATGTAATAAAAATTAAGCTGCAGAAAACAGTAATGCTATAAATGATAATTTCTTAAGTCAAAACACCTCATCTCTAAACTGGAATTTTAACCATGTCATCCCCCGAATAAAGTTAAAATACAAAACCTCCAATACATAGCTAGGTAAATTCACAAGCCTTTCAAGGACAGTGAAGTAAGTTCTTGTATTACAGGCAGAATATTAAAATTAAAGCCAGATGCAACCTAGGGATAACACAAGCCAGTTGGTCCACAGGCAATAATTAAGCCTCCACAAAGCCTACTACTTCTGGAGAACCTTTGCATATCCAGTACATAAAATGAATATCACTCAATATAAAGATTCTATTAAATGGTCTTCATCACTTGCAATTTTCCCATCTACCAACATAATACCTTCCTTTAGCAGGCCTTTGGTATGCATAAGCAGCAACCAGAGAACAAGACTCACATGCAATCTTCCAGACTAAAATTGGTTTCAGTAAGCCACTTCTTGATAAAGTTGCAGTTTTATTAGAATACTATCTAAGTTTTGTGGTGAGCTCTACTATTCCTTAAAAAAATGTAATGAATCTTGGGATGTGCAAACACTTAAATCCTACTAATATACGATTAACTACTGATCTTAAAAATCTTTAAATTATTTGAAGTGCTACCAGATACCTTCAGACTAACAGCATACAGTTCTTAAAAAGCAATTCTGCTGCAGATACTAACATACCCATATTACAAGTGTTTGTATAAATACAATAGGTACACATCTAAACTATGTAGAGTACTCACCGTGGAATGATAACTGCATCCTGGTAATCTTCTAACTTGAAAATAAAAGGCATTTCTTTTGTATACTGTGTACTAGGAATGCCTATACGTGCCTCAGATTTCTCAATGTCTTCCATAAACTTAAAGTCAATGTCCAAAGTGCTGGAGTCATCAACTTAAAAAGGAAAATGCACAACTCAGTTTTCTAGGCTGAACTTTTCTGACAAGTTGTAAATTACAAAATTTTTGTTCTTACCAACATTTAGAGGTAGAACACAATAGGCTGAATCAGCTTCTGTAGGTTTGAATTCTAGTGCAGGTTTCTCAAGACGAAGAATATGTGAAAAAATGTACTGGTGGAGTCGTGTTATCAACTCAAGCATTTGCAGAGACAGAGTAAAACCAGATTTCTTAAGCTCAATGGATATTGTAACCTCTCCAGAGCGAGTATACACAGGAAAGTGAGGAATCTAAACAAGAACAAAATTGAAAGAAATCACAAAAGAAAATCCAAAGTGGGATTCCTTTACAGAGTACTGTCTGTTTAGTGCAGATTCTGAAGTAATGCTTGATTGACCCTACAGCAAATCAGATCAAATAGGATCTGAACTTTGAACTGTGATGACCTTTCAATTACAGATGAGACTCTGAATGTTAAAGAATGACTGATTTAGTTTTCTTAATAGTTCTCCTTACGTTTTATAGCTCTTGTCTTTATAAAAGCTAAGGAGAAAAGGGAGTATTTTCTATTATGAAGAAAGAAATGTGAAAACCAGCATATTCCTGAAATGTCTTATGCGGGCAACAGAAAACACAATTTGAAAAAAATCTTCCTCAGCTGAGTCTCACGAAAAGAAAATGCCTATTAAAATTTTCTGAAGCAGGAGGTGTCAGTTTCAATTAACATGGCCCACATTTTCTGCTGCTGCAGACGAGGAATGCTGAGAAGATTTGTTACCATAGCTTTTGCATAGATAAGGTAGTGCAGTGCAGGCCAATTCTGTCGCTGATATGTCTACTCCTATCATACCTTATACAAAAAAAGGAGGGACATCCTGAATTTACCAATGCAAAATACTAAATTTCAAAACCAAAAGTTCAGCAAAAATAGATTGTTCCATCCCTAAAGACAGAAAAAGAAGTGGTGACTTGAATGGATGGATAGTGTTGCTTGTTTTCTGGAGGTTATTTGATACAAGAATACTTTATAGTCATTTCCAACTCTTCATTCTGTTGGGTGGGGGGTAAGTGGAAAAAAACAGACTGCAAGGCATGCAGAATAAGGAAAGGAAATAGATTCCTTACTTGAGGTATAGGTTTGGCTGTCAGTATGCCAAAACATCTTGTTGTATCCTCAGGAGGATATAGCTTTCGTCTCCTGAAGTTGAGTTCATCAGGTAGAGGAGTCGTTAACACCATTCCTATTACATACAAGTAACAGGGCTGATCAGGTTTGGGATAACTATCCCTCAAACACTCTGGAATCTGAAAAAAAACGAAAAAACATTAACATTATAAAAATCAGCAAATAAACCTCTTAGGTTTATTTGGAAACACATTGCTAAAAATAAGGAACAAAAAAGAAATTATTCTGGGGTCAAGCAGTGGTTTTTTTCTTAAGCAAAAATGTTTGACCAGCAGCATGGCATGGCAGCCATGAGATTTCCTTTGTCCTCAGTAGGTGAACTGGGGGACAGAGGATGGCTTTTCATAAGAAGACTTACCAAAAATTCTAAAGGAGACTTACTAACAACCTGTCCTATACACTCCCATCAAGTTCCTGTAACTTTCCTAGTAGATACTGGAGCTCAAATGTCTGCCCTCAGAGTTGAAGATGCCCTTCACATGGATTCATTCCCTCAAGTAAAGGTGTATTAGTGGTGGGTGCTTTTGGACATGCATAGCCTCAAAAGATTGCTAAGGTAAGGTGCTGGATGATGGGGAAGGAGAAAGTGATTGAAACTCTAGTAGTTTTGGGACACTTCCCTGCAAATCTATTAGGACTGGACCTCTTGAAGACAAAGCAAAGGACTGATGATGAAGGTAAAATATGGGTGTTTGGGAAAGAAACTCACCATCTATGCCAATTAGGTGCTGCCCCAACTCTTCCTCCCACCCTTGTAAACAATGTCAAGCCTTATCCCTTACCCTTGGGAGCAAGTACAGACCACCCCAGTTACTGACTACTTGAAGCACAAAGGGGCATTGATTCCAGCACATTCTCCCTGTAACTGAGTGTTGCATTACCATCCATAATGCCTAATCCTCCATTGAGGTGGCATGAACCAAGATGAAAGAAATAAGAGATCAAGCTGGAGAACCATTTCAATCAATGCAAACACGAGACAGGTTTGATAGATCAGAACCTAGATCATGGGTTATCACCCTCCTAAAGTCTTCAGAGCTTACAAGATGGGGAAAACAGTTAGCACAAAGAGTTGCAACTGTCACTGGATTTCTATTTTTAATGGTTGGCACTAGCCTGGTTATGTGCATGATAACATGCTTATTCATCTCACTTTTCCCCTCTGTTTGCTATACTTGCATCACCACCATGGGGGAAGAAGCCTACATCCATGTTCCTCAAGGCAATGTAGAGCCATGGGGTTGAATGTTATGAGGGAGTAAAAAGTAAGGAATGTTTCTCCAATGCCTCTTTGAAGATTAAGGTTTGAAAAATCAAGTTTTAAATTGCCTCTAACAAAAGCCTTAGAAACTGCTTTGTTCTAGAAAATGAAGCACCTTGTTTGAAAATAGCTTGCAGTTGATACAGCAAGCAAGCAAGTAGCAGACTTTCAATACATCAAGAAACCCAGCCAATGAACTTTATGAGGTAGAGGCATTGCTGTTCTCAAAATCCTCCATAAACAACTGCCCAATCTACCACAGGTGCTGCCAAATTACACAATGCTGCAATCTTTGCTGTCTGTGATGTCCTACAGTGTCCTGTGAGGCTGCTTGTGCCCCTACCCCACATGCTGGTCCCGCTGCTGCGGCTCTGCTCTGGAGGGACCTCACTCAATAGAGACACATCACACCCGATGCAGATCTGCCCCACCGCACTCTGTGAGCCAGTGCTGGACCCATGGTAGTGACAGCCCCTCTCTTGTGCTTCCTGTAATTATTCTGGGCATTTCCTGACTTTCCTATTTTCTCTCTTTCCTTACTCTTTTATAAAATATAAAGTTGTATTATCGCTTTGGATCATTTAACCTCGTTTGGGTTTTAATCCTGCTTTCAGGTATGCTCAGAACTTTATTTTCTGCAGCAGAGGATAGAGGCAAAACATGCCTCTCCTCACATTAAGCAGATTGAAATGAGCTTTGATGCAAATGTCTGCATTTAACCAGTAACACTAGAGCACGTTTTAAGTCTAAGACTTTTGGAACTTAAAAGCAGAACAGGAAAATACAAAAGGTAAAAAGAAAAATGTGTGTACTCAGAAAAAAAGAAGTTTTGACTGAACTTTCAGCTTCATTAACACAGATTCTTTTCCCAGCAGAATTCTTTAAAAGTATCAAAAATATTTTGATACACTTGGGACAAACACATAAACAAAATTCAACACACTCCCTCTTTGCCCAGGCACTACACTATATGAGTTTTTTCATTACAATTCTAGCTTGCAGATGTGAATATTTGCAACAGCCACAAGCACTTTTAATTCTGCTGCTCATATTTGTCATATACATTAAGAAACCATGCTTTATGTTTGGTAGAAGTTCATTACTTTGCAGGTCTCAAAATGATCCTCCTGTTTATCTAAAACTAATTTGCAATACATGTAGCCCTGGAATTTAAAGTTACACTGCAGTAAAACTATGGCCTTGGCTTAATGGAAAATTACTCATAAATTTAATAACTACATTAAACCCAAGAGGATCTTGCAGACCTTAAACCTTTGCCAAGGCTTTTTTTCCAGATGTGAGAAGTTGAGACAAAGGCAAGGGGAAGGTATTCATAGACTCCCTATTAAAAAAGAAATAACTGAGAAAGAATGATGCATCACTTGACAAATCAGCTCCTCTGAATGAGACATCATAATCTTGCATTTTATGAATCACCTCTATCCCAATAATTTTACCTAGTGAGGTAAGCGGACAGAGAAAAGCACTTGTAACAACAAACACTGTGCAAAAATGCGAACTGTGCATCTTTGTAATGTGCAAAGACTATCAGATTCTATATGAGTTACCTGTCCTAAAAGACCTTAGAAAGAACCTGTAACAGCTGCAGAGGAAAAAGGAAGGTTCCAGACAAAGCCTCTTTTCTCCATTTTCTTTTAAAGTATTTTCAATTCCCCTACAAATACCATTTAAGAAGTCCAATTTTACAAGCCGGTGTGGCTGAAACCTGTTGTAACAGATTGTGAATACATTACTTAACATAGAGGTGTATTTTCTTGTGTAAGCCTTTCAACAGATCAGTATAACAAGTATAATATTTAGAACTACTTTAAAAGTAAAAAAAAATTTAGAAGTACACTTATTTGATATTCTAAGATTTAAACCAGAAATTATGAAATTCTGTATTCAAACAGCAAACTTGCCAGAACTAAACCAAGCAATCAAAAAAAGACCCCAAACATATTTCTGTATTTAGCCTGGGGCACATCTTTAATATTCAATTATTTGTCCTGAAAGTAATAAGGTAAAGATTTTACAGATTATTAATGCAGGACTATTTTCCTCACAGTTATTTTCATACTAGACAAGAAAGTAATTGCCAAGAAGCCCTACAGAAGGTGAGTGTTCTCTGAGCTTGCAGGCAGGCTTCCAAAGCATGTAGTACCATAAACTCAGGTAGCAATGCAGGCTTCCACAGAATTAGAACAGGAAAGTATTTCCACTTTAAATATATGACTTCTAAAAATTTCTAATCAGCTAAGATTGAGAGATAGCAATTCTGTCTTATTAGCACATAAAGCATTAGATCAGAGATCTGGACAGCAGGAAGTGATACTAACAGCTTTAGGATAGCACTGTCTTCGTTTTGTAGAGCCTGGCCTTCCTGGAACACTGGTTTCTTCTTCATCATGTAAATCAAGCTCCTCCTCATATTTAACCGTTTCTTTACCAACTGGCATCAAATGATCATCCAGTTCACCTGAATATTACAAAAGAGTACAAAGAAATAGCATTATGAACAATCAAATCTCTGTTTCTTCAGATCTACACAGTTGTGAGGTTGCTTGTGAAAACACCTCACATGTAAGGTTTTAAAATACATGGACTACTGCAAGGCTCCAAAACTGTAATTTTGGGGAAAGAGCGATAAAGACTGAATTTTGGGCAAAAATGCTTATTTGTAGTAAAAAACCTCTTACGTTTAATTTAAAAATTGAACTCTATAACAAAAAAAAACCAAGAACTCTTTTTGCCCATAAAAAGTGATCTTTGACTGAAACACTTATTTTAAAATCACTCACATGGAGTTATACAAAGGAAGAGGGAACATTTTTATTTCTCTACCTTTCTAATCAGCAGATTACTGCTGTTGAATGTGCACTTCCAACATTGGGTTGAGCCACCCAACTGAGTGCCATTCTTGGATACATTTGTTGGTATGAATTCAGTGTTCAAAAGATTTAACTCAGAAAAAAAAATACAAACCTGAGACCTACAATTCTTTTTTGCTTAAAACATATATAAATACTTAAGTACTTAATAAGAAAAACAGTAACACAGAATTATCTTTAAAATGTTCCACAATGAAGAACATACTCTGTTATACTTACTATAAAAAAGAGCTTAAGTGGTTCTGCAATGTCCTATTTTTGGATCATGACTTAGAATACAGTAGAGAAAGCAGTAAATTAAGGGTTGTGTATTTCATATTTTGTCACAATTCACTTTAAAAACCACATTCTTTTGGCTGTAGGATGACCTGACCTACAATCAGTATCATCTAGAGAACAAGACTCTTTTCCCCTATTAAGTATATTCCATGCCAAAGACTTTGTCTCTTGTACTAATGTTGCTTTTGCTGTTTAATACAGAATTTGTTAAATATCCAGATTTTGCTAGAGAATTTAACTTCAGCTTACAAGGTGTAAGCTAAATTAGTAAGTACATGATTGCATCATGAAACAAGGCAAGCAAAAGAAAGCTGCAATAGATGGCTACAGCAGAAGGACATTTACATACAGAACACCCATACCGTATGCAATTTCTCAACTATAAAATATACTTTAACAAAGAGGTTGTTTTTCTGGTTCTTACCAATTTTGTGCAGTTTTTCACAGCAAATAAGAGCGACAACTCTCTCAGCCAGTCTTGCACAACTCATTGGAGGGCCCTATAAACATTTAAGTAATTAGTAAAAACTTTGGTTTACTAGCAAGTTACTTAAATATGTTTAGTTTAACACAAGCATTTCAGGCAAGCAAAATTTTTGGCATTGATGACAGTTTTGTATGTGAAGATATTCAGGTTTTTCCATGTTTCTCCATGGAAACCAAAATTACAAGAACTCAACTACACTACTGATCAAAACTAATAAAGGACAAGTGCATGAAAAAACAATGTACAAGGGAGAATATAAAAATATTTTTGCCTTTGGCATAAACAGTAACTGATAGAAAAAGGATTACAACAAAAACAGACAGTGATCAAAAACCAGTTAGAGAGTACAATACAGAAAAAACTAGTTTTCATTACCAACAGTGAAACTAAATCTAGAAACAGCACAGACCAATTCTTAGCCCAACATATTCATGTATTTCCATGCTTTTCCTTCCCCAAATACCTACAACAATTGAAGCTCGAAGAGGTGAGTTGATTGGCAGGTAGAGAGTCGAGTAAAACGTATGGTCAGGTAGTTCCCGGGTCTTACACTTGGGAGCCAGGTGTGTAAATGGATCACTTGGTAATCTAGCACAGTACCTAAATTGACAAAACATTTCACACATCATCAAAACCTGCAAATTGAAACCTAAACACGTTTCAATGGAACTTTACCTTACTGGCATGAATGCTAGAGAAGATGATTTCAGGCATACTGAGCACTATAAAGGTACACTGCTGACTTGTATTCAACTAACTTCTGAGCAGAAGACCTCCAAATCCTTTATTATAAACCTGGTCTCCACAAAGGTCACTCCAGCTTGTAATGATGCACAAGGCTATTTCCTGCCAGGTCCCAGGATTTTCATTATGTCTCCTGAGTTTACTGCTGTCTTATTCCTCCTGTTCATCACGGTTTCCCTCTCCTGCCTTTCCTCCTTCCCAACTTGGTATTAAATGCAAACATCCTGATGTTAAACTGTGCTGGACCTCCTAACAGTCCAGCTGCCAGACAGCCTCTGAACCATTTACCATTCATCCTTCAAATGTGACTGCTTTGAGAGGCTTTATTTACCAGGCAGTCCATCAAAATGGTCTGCATCTTAAGAATTTAGCTACTAAGGTAGTATTTTGGCAATTTCATTACAAGCTTTACTTTACTAAATGACATTCACTTTTCATAGAGTCAACCACTTTATGATATTGGAGATAAAAAGCCCTCAGTAAAACTTGGTTGGTGTCTACCAACTCCCTTTTCTTTATGGGCCTAAAAACTGTTGCCATGAGGAGTTGGTCCATAGCGTTCCATATGATTACAGATAAACTGATTGGTTCACAGCTCCTTGGACCTTCTTGTCTTTTTTGTCTTACTATCACCGAGAACCTCCTCTAATTACCACTGCCTTACAGACTTGATATTTGAGTAGCTCCCATCCTGTCTTGTGGACTTTAATTACTGTGGTTTTGTTTGTAAAGATGACAACAGATTGCTATTACAAACGTGAATATTAGAACTGGAAGATTTAACTACTGTTTTAACAGTTTGTTTCTTTATTTTTAAAGCCAGCTTGACAAGAGCAAAAATGCAAATTTACTACACATTTTGAAGCTGAATATTTTCAGGGAAGCTTTTAATTAAACAGGAATCAGCATCACTACATTTATTATCAGAGCTAAAACCTTTGGCAGGATAAAGAAAGCAAATGACAGCTTCAAACCTCTGTGACCACTTTCTTTAGGAGAGAAGATTCTATTAAGATGTCTAAGAGGAAATGTCTAAAATGCCCCAATCCATGCATCCATGCTGCGAGACTGACTAAGAATTCTTTTATTCAATGACAGGAAGTAAGAAGTGAATATGCCTCTTACCTATTTATGTGTCCAATAGCAGTGTTAATAGTAACCCTTGGACTGTTCTCATCTGGCCTCAATACATAGGGTGGAAAGATGTCATCATCATCAACAATGGGTTCAGCTTCAGTTTCATTGGCATCAACAGATTTTGAGCATTTGTTTCGGAGGATCTTAACATTTGAAGAACAGAACATGATGAGAGTTTTTTCCTTAAAAAGTACTATGACACATTTTAAAAAAAACAGGCCTATTCCTTTGACCTCATACCTTCTCAATTGCTTTGTATGTCTTGAGATCTTCTTCAAAACTTTTGATTTTGTCTGTATCTGCTAACATAATGTAATTGGAAATTGGTGCTCTAGCTCTTCCTTTTGACTGCACATAGGAACGGTACTCTGTGGGCAAATCAAAACGCACCACCAAGTTGCATTTTGGTATGTCAACACCCTCTTCTACAATACTAGTAGCAATAAGTAGGTTGGTCTCATGTGCTCGAAATTTTCTAAGAACCTGCAAAAGTAACAAAGACAAATTTGACATGTTAGTCAAAGATCTATTTCCATCATGAAATTCAGCACAAGGCAGGAAAACCAAGATGAGTGGCTCAATAACCCCCAAAACATGTCCAGACTTGAAAATACTAAACTTACAAAGAATCTTTTTGGAAACATAACAATTTAGTTATAAAGAAGCTCTATTTATCAGAATCAGACTTCTAGGAATAAAATCAGGTATGTGGAATCAAATGTGTCTAAGAAGCTACTATAACCCCTATCAATGGAGAGGATTCCCCCTACTTACTTACAATTTTTCAGTTGTGGTATTAAAGCAAAAACAAATGCTGCTTTCAGGACACCATCTTTCCCCAAACATTCCTGAGGCTGAAGCATCCTCAGGGGGTAGAGCACATTCTAGATACTTATATTATACTTCTGATATTTATACTACATAGGAAACGATACTAAAGCAAAGTGTGGTGTCTGGAGCACAACTCAGCCAGGATGAGCTTTAAATTATGTAAGATCAGAGGCGGGGTGGGGGAAAGGGGGAGGTTAACATTTATAACAATTAATGATTAATCAAACTTGGAAAAAAATAAAAATAATTTTAGATCTAGAAATTTAAAATAATTTCGGAAAAAAAAATATAAAAATCAGCATAATTACTGAAAATGTCAGTAAGTCTGACATTCTTTACATTCTTAATAAATATTACCACTAACACAAAACAGAAAAATTAAATAATGATGTGACTAGATATAAACATGATTTTACATGAAGTTTTAATTTCTATTTGTGTAATGTGACATAGCAATGTTGCCAAACATGCTTTTATTGTTTTATAAACAACATATGTATCTCAAATAAGTAAGCATATTTGTTAAAACAAAGCTATAAAATTCCAATGACTGTGCCCTGGACTCTGCCTGTTGATTTGTCTTGTTTTCAAAAACACACACACCCCTAAAAAGGGCATTGCCAGTTTACATTTTTTTTCTTGAAGTTACCTCTTCCTGTTTTCTAAATTCTACTTCCATCTGCTTGTTACGAGGCTGGTTCTTGCCAATGCCATGTCCAGTTATAAAATTGCTACTGATGTAAGCCAGTTCTGGATCTTGCTTGCCAGCTTCTTTTATCAACCTAAAAATATTACACGTGTTTTTAGAAGTTACACATCCTACAAAATGGAGGAAAATCTATTATTTGTAAGACCTATATTAAAAGGAAAAGTGGAAGTATGACAATTAAGTCATGTTAACAAATAAACTGACTGCAGTCTTCCTGAAAACCTCTGTAAGGTTACCACAAGACAGACTGCATACAGAAACACAAGGAATGCTCATGCATCACACACATTTCAGACCTATCATGGTAAAACTAGATATTTTTAAACCAATCTATTACTCTAAGGCTCCCTGTTGTTAAAGCACTCTACTCAAAACTACTATTTTTATTTTTTTCTGTAAGCTCTGGCAGATTTTAGAAGAAAGACCACTAACTGCTTCTGCAACAAAAGTATGTTTCTTCAGTATAAAATGTTAATTTCTAGGTTAAAATATAAGATTGTAATCTACGTAATATTAGAATATGCATTCCGTTCAAGTACACTGGTGACAAAATGTTGACCTGTTTTTCTCAAGTGATGCTCAGCCTACACAGTGAGATGTTCACTAATTGTGAAATTAACCCAAATAGAGGACATAATGCAATTCTTTAAAAAGAATACTCAACAGGGATGTGAGAAGTATCTATGCTCTCACTTTATTTCCACTCAGTTTGTTCTTTATGTTACAGAAGCAAAAAAGGCTGGCTTCTGCAGTCTCTGATTTCACAGATAAGGTAGAAGATTGCTTACCTAAATAAAGAATGCACTAATTCAAAGAATGAGGCATTTCTGGATTTAAAACCACAATTACAGTGTGCAGTCAGAGTAAGTATGCTGGAGCATCGTTAGTTGATCAGTTTTCAGGATGAACCCAATTTGGAATTATTCAACTGCAACAGGCTTTTGATCAGGAGAGCCAAGGGATTATATACAACAAATAATCCCTTGCATGGGTCACTATAGCCAGACCAGTACGGGTCTGCTCAAAGCATATCCATCATATCCAATACCAGGTGCTCCCCACAGCCAGGGAACAGCCTGTCTCTCTATACCTCTGGCAGTAACTCAAACCTTTCCCAAAAAAACTTCTAGCACTCTGTCTCACACAGAAGTAGATGGTGCTCTTCCAGTCCCCAGCTACAAGCCTTCCATCTGCCCAGCATGCTGCTGCCAAACAAGAGGGAAAATGGCTCTTTTAACCCTTGGAAAACTACTGAAGTCTTGCCCCTTTTCCTAGTCCCCATTTTAAACTAAATTTATGGGAACATATAACACCTTGAAGGCTTTCCTCCTTTGTAATCTGTTAAAAGTGGAATGAAGAGGGTGATAGGCAAGAGGACAGAAAAGAAGTATACAGCTTGCCATCCTTAGGGAAATAGACTAGAAGGATCCTCGTGTGCTAAAGTGCAAATGTGGCTTGTTAGCTCAAGGCCAAATAGAGTTACATTTCTGTATGCAGTCTAGGCTCTTGAAAAAGTCACTCTGAGAAAATATGGGTTAATAACTGGACAAAATTTTTTAAATTTCTTTTTCAACATGGCATTTCTGTGAAGCCATACAAATTAAGTATCTATTAGACATCTCAAACATTCTTACTTTAGTTCACTTCTATAGAACTGGACAATTAAAAGTATCTGAATAAAGACTTCATTGCAAATCTTCGCCAAGCTCCTGAGAAACATATAGGACTTCGATCTTGTGACTAAAAAAAACTATTTGTGGTAGGTAACAGGTGGTGTTTTTCAAAGAGATACAAGAACTTCTGCTTTCAAATCCTTCTCTTAAGTGAGCTGAGAGTGCTGCAATGCAAATGGAAGGAAATGGGCTTTAGAAAATGTCTTCTATTCTGTAAAGGAGCTTATAAGGCACCAGAACTAAACTGCATACAGCAAATTAAACAGTGAGCAAGCCACTCCATCAACTGCATGTAATAAAAATGTAATGTAATAAAAAGAAAGTACAACTCATGCCATGAATTTTGCCCTTCTTCAGTCATCCCGGATTTCATTAAATGGTATTCTAAATACTACTGTAATAATTATGTTTAAGAAAAATTATACTTCTCTTTTAACCTAGTTCCATTTAATGATCCATACTGGATTACTGGAAGTAGCTGTGATACACTAATTCAAACACTCCTGACTTTCTCATTCAGTAAAGAGTCTTTCCCTTATATATAGCCTAAAATAGCTATCATCAGCAGAGCTGATTTGAATTAAATGCACTCTGCTGAAGAGGGCCTACAGTGAGCTTCTCCACCAAAGGCTTCCAATCTTATTTCCAACAGATCAAGTCTGATGGTCAATACAATATCAGGTATTCTGAAATCAGATGCTACATGAGGTAAAGGAGCATTATAAGAGTCTGGCAGCTAGCTTTCAAAAGAGGATAAAACATTACACATAGTTTTATATTTTGCCACCAATAACCTCTACTCAAGGTGCCTAAAGCTTAAAGATGGCAGAATTTGATCACTTATTTCACCTACAGTCTGTATTCTGTCAGGTTCAAGAGCAGTTAGGATACTGTATAGTGTATAAATCACGGAATACAAGAATGCACAGTGGAAAACCAGTATGATTTAAATCACATTCATAGCTGAACAGAGAAGAAAAAAGTTTTCAGAATTCTGTTCATTCCCTGTAGGGTAATGAAATAATCATTTCAGCTCAGCAAAAGATTCTGTTAATGTTATTTCTTCAGGACTTATTAACAGAACATATTCATTTTGCTGAACAGTTTTGTTTGCCTCATACTGCAGATTTATGTGAACATATTTAAAATGCAGAAAAGGAAAAGATAAAAGTTGACGAAGAAAACATAGGCAAGTCTGCAGATCAAAGTTATAGTAAGTTATGCACTTATTAACTCGAGCAAAAATGCACCAACAAAGGAGTCAGATTTAGAGGTATCCAGAATGCAATGAATACCTCACACAGGACATTTGTTATTCTGTCAGGGAAACCCATCAAAACCAAAACCAGGATAGGTGAATCAATCATGTCATTCACAGTCTGTGGCAAATCGCTTTTAACAATTAAGTGTTATACATAGCTAACATATATCACATTCAAGAATATGAACTGATAAGGAACTACAATATTGCCAGCTGGCAATTACTCCCACACTCATGTTTTTCTTGGTGGAGACTTCAAGAAAGCACATAGTGTTTGACTAAATACTGCTTTATAAACATCAACTGTGAGATATTTGTGCAAGGGGAAATTTGATTTTCTCTAGACTTGGATAACATTGTGATTTAATAGGGTAATGGTGAGATTTCCAGAAGCATTGCACACAGTAGGCTAGAGAAGTTTCCAACATTCATTGCAAATATAAATCTAAAGACCTATTACAACAAATCAGTATATGCTTATTTTACAGGTTTAGTACAGTATTTCATTTTGCCTTCTAAAGGAGTCAGATCAAAAACTCAGGTCTGAAACAAATCCCTGAGTACAACTTTCAGACATATGCTCTTCCCATATGCTTTAGAAATATTTTATATTATCTCCTAAACCAACTTTATGAATAGAGTTTTGAAAATACAAGGCAATCCCCTACATATTCATGATATTAACATCCTGGCAGCTGAGTCTGCCTTTTTTCTGCAGAGTATTTTTTTTTAAATAAAAGGCTTTACCTATTTAGAACAACTGCTGTGTATCTTCTTTCCACAAAAATAATTCCACATAAAATATTAGTAAAGGGAGACGGGAAATTAGTCTCTGGCTTCTCTTTCTCCTCAATTTCTTCATCCTCATCATCATCTTCAGAATCACTCCAAGATACGTAATTATCCTGATTCCTATTGTTATACCATTCAACACTTTCAAACTGCTGCCGTTCATATGGTTTGTATTTGCGCAAGATTTCAAGCAGCTTTATTACTTTTGGGGTCACAAATTTCAGGTCAAGTGAGGCAGGCGAGAAGTGCTCTTCACAGAGTGCATGTATTTTCCTTAGGAAAGTGTCTGTAAACAATAAAAATTTCCTGTGCAGCTCCTCTTGTTCATGTTTGATATACTTCTGCAGCTCTCTCACCATCATCCCAGCTACCTTATCTGCACACCACGGTCCCAGAACAACCAACACAGCTCGACAGTCTGACAATATCTACAACAAATGAATTCAAATATCAGTTCAAAGAGTACATTCATGAACTATTCATTTAAGACTAGGGGCTTTTTTTCTCTTACAGCACAGTCTTTGTAAGGATTACGACAATTTTTCTACTTTAAAAAAAATGCAGAACTCTGCTATTCTTATTTAGATGACTTTAGGAAGTTTGATGTTTCTAATGGAACAAGTTCCCCCCTCCCCCTTAAATTACTACCAATCAACTTCAAACTGTACATTTCTGAATCTCAAAAAAATCACAAGCTTAATAAAAAATTTGCCATTTCGTAGAACTGCAACTTGAAATTTATACTAAAAAGAATACTTTTTGAAGCAGTTACATAAACAAAGCAAAAATTCTTATCTTTATTACATAACATAGAACTAATAGAATAAACAGTCTACTGGGCATTTTTACTTTATTTACTACTGATAGCTGGCAAGGTTTCAGAAGTATATAACCAGAAAGTTGCATGGTGGCCTTAAGGTAGCTTTAGATAGTCTGTCATTTCAAAGGTAAAACAGAACATAGTGGTTTGAACATGTGGGTGGGCTAATAAGAAAAGAGAACTGTATTTAGTCATAGAAAACAGAACAGGCATTAGAGTACCATCATAATCTTATCTGATGAGAAATTGTTTCCTCAGGAAGAGTGACGTTGTCAAACAAACTAGGAATTCAGAAATGGAATTCAAAGGACTATTAATAGGACTTATCGTTTGGATGCCCTGTATTTTACCAGAACTACAACTGAACTATAAGTCAGGATGCTGGTTTTCACCTGCTGCTTTGATTTCTCTTCCTTCATCCCTTCTGTGAGGAAATAAAGAACAGGTTACCATCCTCTTGATGCTATCCTATCCTCTGTGAAGTTTATCAGTTTTAAGGGCAAAACTATCTATTCTAATTGTAACTGCATACAGATACTTGATACTCTACATTGCCAAGACATAAAGCACCTCAGTCTGAAACTCATTTCTTTTCTTAATACGGGTGCCTCCATCTTCTCAGAGAGCTACTGGTTTAAAACAAGCACAGAGGGTTACAAGCTTTATATGTATAGCAGTTAATCCACTCTTCTGGACTCTGCAAGTCCTAGAGATAACCTCCAGCCAGCATTCCTTATGTATTTTAGTCTATTACGGTTTAAGCTTAGCACAGAAGTAACCAGGACTTCCAATTCCCATGCACTGTGACAGGCTACCTTATGTACCATCTTTCCCTCTGGCACAAATAATATTTTACAGAAAGCATCAGAACCTTCAGTTTAAAGTTTAAACCCTCAGTGCTAAAGGAAACCAGAGTATTTTGGGCAGAAGAAAGACATACGTTCTCCAAATTTCTCGTGGACTACTACAGGAATAGTCACAGTAGTGACTCACTACTGACTTCTTGTTCAAAGACTTACATACCTACACAATTGTAACTTAGCAAGCAATTCCAAACCAGAAGGCCAAGCAGGGTTAAAAAAAGGTACCTGGACCCCCTGTGTGAGAGGGGATAAACGCCTGTGATAACTGATAAACGCAGCTGTGGAGCTCATAAATGCTCCACGCCTTCTGGACTATCCTGTGCCAAAGATCAGGACAGCACAGAGGCAAACACAGAGTAAGTCAGGGGCAAGCCTGAGATTCAGATTCTGTTGCAGCAAGGTGTGGCACTAGTCCAATATTGTTCTAAGATAAACTACAGACAGCATACATAACGAGTTGGAATTTTTGCCTAAATTCTTCCTTTTTCAACTTTTAATAGAATGGGGTACAGTCCAAATTCTTCCTGAAGCATTATTTCCTCTTCTGTACTGAATTATTCAAAGGTCATAGGAGATGGTGAAAATATCAAATTCTTGACTTCAGAGATAAGGACCTAAAGCATTAGGGTGCAGAATTGTTTCAGTACTTTAAGCAAATCTGAATCTCAAACCAAATGAAATTCTAATCAATGCCTCACATTGAAACCCAAATCATTTATGAAAACTGCATGTTAATGAACACAAAAATCAGTTCTTTTGCTGCAGATAGTCAAGGATGTCTATCTAAGGAGGTTTAAGTTATGTAGCATACATGGGAAAGAAAAACAGTAGTAAGATTTCTACTCCCCAGTTCTCTCGCATTTCTTGATATCCTTACCTGCTTAGAAATTAAGGTAGAATCTCTTTCTTTTGAATGTACAGATATGTTGCAGTCATTTAGGAAAGCAAGTGCTTCATCCAATTCCTTTAATAATCTTCCATACAACCCACTTTTGTCAGTATATGGTCCACAGTCTACAACAATCTCACATGGCTGAGAAGTATATCTTAATGAGGACAAAAATCAAGTTAAACACAACTTCTGAAAGCTAGAACTATTTCAGCTCCTAAGATTATACAGCAAACACAACAGCAATATGATATGTATTCAAGAACATTCCTTTCCCCACCATGAATCAATAATTATTAGAAGTTATACAGTTAAACCCTTCAGAAAAACTTCCACCACCAAAAATACTGAACTGCTTCATTCTAGACACTGTTCTAACACACTCCTAAAAATAAGGCTAATATTACTAACCTCATTTCAAATACTGGAAAATTTAAGCAAATTCTATTTACTTCACCAACATCTTCACTTGTTTTTCCATAGTGCACTCTCTTGCTATACAAAAAAACCCGATCCACATAATGTAAATTTATGTCTATATATACATTTGCACAAGTAAAATAATTACTGTTTTTGAATGGCAGCAAGAAATTCTTAAAAGGAAATGGTTCAGACAAGTTAAAAAAAATGCATTTAAAACATTTACATGCGGACGAAACACCTGTTCTATAACATGAAAAAAACACCTTTGTCTGAAACTCAGTAATGCAGTACAGGTGGTAGAAGAAAACAAGCTACACAGCAATCATTTCATCCTAATTAGCCCAGCTACACTACAAGTCATTGCATTATCACCACCTTCAGTTTAAACAACATTCACAGGATTCTAGATTGTGTAACTCACTTGCTCTATTATTTAAGTATTTACTGCCTCCTCTCATCTCCCTCTATCTTTCATTAGCCTTTAAAACTGAGGTTATTTGAGGAGATAAAAAAGGCAATCTCACAGGCATTAAGGGCACATTGTACTGTGGATGTTGCCACATTTTCCTAAATAGTGACATTATGGCATACACTGGATATGAAATACTTACACTCTACACAGAAGAGTACGTTTTCAAAGTTCAGAAATATTTTGTGAAATGTCAGTTTTTCAGCTTGGTGGTGTGTTATAGGGTTTTTTTGGTTGTTTTGGGTTGGTTTTTTTTGTTTGAGGATCCATTTTGTTGTGTCTTGTTTGTTTTGTTTTTTAACTACAGAAAATCTCTCCCTATGAAGGCCAATCAGCCTTTATACTCAAAAGATTTAACATTCCATCTCCACCCTAAATGGAATAGCAGCAACATATACCCACAAACTTTTGTAAAATTTAGAAGATTAAATATTGCTACTGGTTTATTCCTCTATCCAAAATGAAAATGCAGGCATCAATTTACCATTTATCATTACAAAACACACCTGTCTAAGACCACCAAATCAGTTGCAGTTTCAGCATTGCTCTTCAAAATTTGCTCCAGTTTCTGGATCTTCTCCTCTAACTCAGCAGGATCACATTTCCCATTTAAAATGGAAGCTGTCAATCCCAAAATTCGAGGACATGATGGATAATCCTCACAGATCTGTGAAATAAAATCAAATTAAATTATTTATGGAAGGTATGCTGTTAATCTACCTGCAAACTTATGATGCTTAGGCTAGAAACTTTTATTTCAATAGCAGGTCTTGCAAAAAAACAAACACTGAATTAATATTTTCTCTTCTACTGACTGGAAGTTAAACAGCCATCACATTTAAAGGTAAATATTTACAACATGGAAAAACAGAAACAGATCGCATTAAACAGAATATTCTTGTCACAGTTACAATACATAACATAATACTTCCATGCCATATAAAAAGGCACGTGCACTTGAAAAGATATTTGGAAAGATACTTATTATGCAGGTATCTCTCACTTATAAGCAAAAAACAACACAGAGCCATGAATATTCTGGAACGATCCCCAGAAACAACTTTAGAGATTAGCATTTTTAAAAATAATAAAAACCGATTAGCATATCCCATTCCCTAACTCAATTATTTTATTAGTGAATTTAAAAAATTCCCCTAATTCAGTGAATTTAGCTTCTCCGTTCAAGACAGGTTTTTGTTTAATCTCCACTATAAAATACAGGAAACATATTATTCTTCTACCACATAGTATCACTGAAGTCTTAATACAGTAATTTCACAGCCCCAGGAACATGCTAACGTTGGTTCCTCTAATATTTTTTTTGGTAGCAAAAGTTGCCTTAAATGGTTCCAATTCTCCAGCCCTCCCACTCACTTTTCCTCCTCAACCAAATAAACAATCATGCAATAAATGCACCTTCATAATTTCACGGTATGGATGATCCTGGATAGCAAGATGGCACTCATCAAATACCAGAAGATTAATATTTGACAGGGATAAATACTCATTTCTCAAAACAGTCAAAGCAACATGACATGTCATAACCAGAACCTAGATTGAAAGGAAAAAAATGTCAGTACAAGAAAAGCACAAGCTGTCTGAGGTGAAGGAGGAAAAGCCTTCTGCAGGTCTTGTAAGACGGCATGGACAAATACCAACCCCTACTCATCTACTTACATCAGATAAGGACAAAAAAGAATAAAACATTCTCTACTGGAGAAAGCCATCTGTCTGAATGGTGTATTTAAATATACCTCTATATCACTCCAGTCACATGCCCAGATAAAAAATGAATACACCGGACAATCTCAACACCAATCTGACCACACAGAAAAAGTATCATTAAATCCTAATAAATTTACTGTCCTTATGTGTGTCCCATCATCATGTCTCTGGCAAGAAAGATAGTTCTTCATAAGGTCTTAACTATTTGCAGCTGTACCATGAGCTGGATGTTATCAGAATATTTTAAAGAAAAACTTATTTCTTCTACACTAACACATGAACATTGAGTTTGTTGATAAAATTATGTAGTTTTTATACTCATTTTAGGTCACAAAGTAAACTCCAAAATCCTAACATTTAATAAAATTTTAATAGCATCTGAAGTATAGTATGCACACCCAAAATTTCTTCTGCAATCAACATAATGAACAACAAGTCAGGGAGATTGAAAACAAAGGACTTAGGGGATGGCTTTATAAAAACAACCTGAAAACACCTACATATATTTGCCTCAAAATTAACATACAAATATTACCAATATGCTGGATTTCTTTTTTAAAAAAACTGAATGTATAATTAAAAGGAATCACTTCTGATCCAACCTCTCTGTATGCTTTGCTTACAGTTTTTACTTAATACATTACCTGATGCTTAGAGAATTCCTGACTCCACTTCTCTTTTGTCCATGATTCAGTTATCTCCAAACTTGAATACTCTCCCACTTTAAGGTCTGAATGTGTCCTGACAGCTGACACTTGTTGAGCAACTTGATTTGCTTAAGGAAAAAAATAAATCTCATTTACATAAAGGTCTTCTCATGCTTCAGTTTATAAGATGTGCATTATATGACCTAACACCACATTTCATAATGTGATCTTTGGCTTAGACTAATGCTAAACTGTGTGTACGTGGCAACTGCCTCTATGCAAACCACATCAAGGAAACAGATTGGTAACTAAGTTGCACTTCAGATTCAATGTCTCAACTTTAAAATAGAAAACAGAACATATTATATAGACAAACAGATTGTATTAAACAGATGATGAAACAAAAGATGAAAGGCATCATCCTTGCTATTGAAGACTTTACGCAAAAGTTTCTCCCAACTTTGCTTTCACAGAACTTCTGTTACAGAATATTCCATGGAAATGCTAACAGTGTGTTTAGGAACATTTCCTCTTACCCGAGTTGACCAAGAACACAGTTCTTTTTCCATTTTTGTTGAAATCTCCCCTGATCTGATAGGACAGCTCTTTAGTGAGTAGTACTGCAATAAAAGTCTTCCCTGAGCCAGTGTTTAAGCAGACTATTGTATTATGATCCAAAGCTGCTTCAAGCAGTTCAACCTAGGTTTAAAAAATAACAATGTCCTTACTTGCTTAAATGCAGTGAAAAAGCTGACAAAAAATAACAAAAATGATAAATAAACCACAGACAAGTACAAGTAAATATTATTGCTTGAGATCTTTCAAGTGCCATATAACTAACATGTCTCTTTCATAAAAATGCATTCTCACAATCCTTCAAAAATATCAGCACACTATATATAGCCCAGCTTTTAAATCTAAAATTCTTCAGCACCACAATCTGCTCTCAGGTAGCTTTCTGAATCTATCTTTTTAATAAATGACTCTGTTGCTGTATATATGGTGTAAAGAAAGAAGCTACAGCTTTTCAAATCTAATTGCACACATCAATTCAGCCCAATAAGCAAGTAGACTAGATCAAGTTTCTCAGTAATGCTAACAAAATGCTTCTGGGCACCTCTTCAGTGCAAAGAGAACTGGTATTCTAGAATGCAGTCTTCCTTAAAGTGAAAAATCAGAGTACCCTGATGGGGTGAGTTTCTGACTTTAGACAGCTGCTTTGACTAGTATATGAACCAAAAATCAAAACTAGTACATCATGTGGAAGACAAAGTGAGAAGTGGAAGGATATATGATGCATACATACAATTGAGAGGCACAGTTTATTTGTCCCTAGAAGCATTCTGCAGAGAGTGGCAGGAGGACAATCAGCTTAAAAGCTGCTCTGCTCATTAGAGCAAACTAAGAAGAGGGATGGGGGGATATAACAAATGTCAAACAAAGTCAAACTAAAGAACTGGCTCCCAACAGGTGGAGCTGAGACAGATATGTCTTGACAGTGTGCATCACAGCACATTCTCCACCTGCTCTCGGTTTGCCTTCCACTAATTAATGGATTTAATTCTATTTCTTTTAATGTTACTGTATTAGTACTATCACTAGTACCTGATATTTTCTTGGCGTGTAAATGTTATCATGAATTGCTTCTTGTTGCCATGGTAGTCCAAAAAATGGACCCATTGGGGAGGAAGCAGGGGTCATGAGCTGCAGTCCCGCCATGCTGAGGGATTGCAAAGCAGGGCTTTTCATTCATTCATCCAGTGTTTCTTTCATTGCATTTTTGTTCCAGCACAACCTACTATGAGAAGAAAATGAAACAGTATTAGATATACTTGCCATCTCAAGCAATAAGAGAAAATTTTTATCAAGAAAAGGACATTGCTTGATTTTACTTACAGAAGTGTTTCTTCTCGCACTATTTTCAGCAGAAAAATGTTAATTTTACATTTGTGGCACTTTTCTACTTGAAGATGTGTGCTTATCAAAATACCCCAGAAATTCGAAAGGAGATGTACTTTACAGGACAATGCTCTTTCCAGGCATTTGAATTTACACACATACCTTTTAATATGAAGTTCCATTTATGGTCTAACAGAATCTCATTTTAGATTTAAACTTCAAAAAGTAAAGCTGTCTTAGCTTTACTTCAGGAAAGAAAAACACTGAATTTTACAGCACAAGTATCAGATTTTCCATTTTTTTTCCAACCAAAAAGACCTTTAACTAATTAAAGCTTTAAATACATGCAAACAAGAATTTTATTCTAATTGCTAGGAAAAGAATAGAAACTACACAAGAATTTCAGTATTTTCAAATCATCAGATTCTGATAAAATTATCTTTTTAAGAACTGGAAGAAGCACTATAGATAATTGCTGATGACTCTGGTAAGGACTAATAGAGAATGGAATCCTTACCAGGTTAACCACCAACTTCTATAAAGACACTAACTCATAAACAAAGCTTAAAGAACTTCATGGCAATTGAGCACCAGCAAACACTTTCTTACTAAAGATACGAAGTCCTCATTATCAGTGTGTGTGTTTTAAAAACATTTTCTATTTGTCAGAATGATCAAGGTTAAAACAGACAAAGCCAAACAAAAAAATCTACCAAGTAAAACAAATAAAAACCCCACAACATAAAAACCTCTAGCCTGGGAAAATTATTATGGCCTTCACTACTAACCTTAGTGAAGCTTTTGTATGAACTGACAGCTTAACTGCAGGATAACAGGGAAGAAGGGAAAAAAAGCAGGGAAAAAGGTCACATCCCCAACACCCCATACTCCAAGCTCATAGATGGTCTCCTTTAATATATCTAGCTTTTCTTTCTGTATTCCCATGAGTGGAAGCACTATTTGGTAACAGAGACAAAAAAAATCCTTAGAATTACAGAATGGTTTGGGTTGGAATGGACCTTAAAGATCATATAGTTCAAACTCCTTGTAGTGTTTGAAGAACACAAAGTTCTTTTGTATGACTACTGTATTTCACTGAAACAGTCTCAATCATGCTTCTCTACTTACACTGAGCAACTGGTGAAAAACAACTAATGTTTGCTTTGTTTAAAACAGCACCTCACTGTCATAATAATTGCTAGAATGGACCAGTGAAAAAAAACCCAAACATTTTCCATAATAAAAGCTGAAGCTGACTCCTCAATCATTCCTGCACATAAGCTCAGCCACTTCAGTTTTATAAATCGCTTTAGATGAACAGCTCCTCCTCTTTGTTTACTGTTCCATTTGTGTTGTGTTTCTTTTTAAAATGATAAATACAACTTTGGGAACATATAAAACAGCTATATCACATCACCAGGAAGGAATTAAGGAGAGAAAACCAACTTTATTTTTAAAGGCTGCTAATAAAAAACAAGTACAGGATCTAATATTACAAATAATTCACCTCTTTTGCTATGCACCAAACAACAGTGATACCAGTTTAGCTACCCTGCTGTAAGAAGCCAGAGGATTTATGCTTACATGTGGTTCCACCTTGATCTGGAAAGGCTGTGAAACAAAATACACTCAAAACTACAGCTTTGGTTTGTGCACCTTCACAGAAGACCTGCTCTGAAATACAATTATGTCATTGAGACCAAAAAGCATTCTCAGAAAAACCCTTTGAAGTGTGAAAGAAGAAGTATATGCACATTTCTAACTTGAAAAGTACACATGACCAAAACAGCATTGTGTGCCACTGCAATCATGCCTGGGTTGAGCTTTCATGAGACTTAACACATTTGAAAGAACATATAGGGGGAGGGAATTTAAGCTAAGTCAGGTAAAAAGAAAAAGTTATTCTCCCAAATCAATGTTTCTTTCTGCTATACTAAGGTTTCCTAGTCCTGGCCCTCACTTCTATGATTTGTACTGGAAGTATATAAGATCTGACAAGATCAATGTCAACATTATTACGGCAGTAAGCCAGAATAATGTAGTAATTGTATCATTCTAGAGTGTCTATTTCAAGAGGGAGGAAAAATATCAAGTTCTTCAATAAAAGAAAAGCAGTACAGGGTCATCTAGAAATAAAAAGGGAAAGAACACATCTACTCTAAGAACAGATTTTTAAATTGAAAACATTTGAGATGTAAGCACATATGTTCAGAATCTGTGGACAGAAAACTGAACATGAGCTAACTGAAACTAGCTAACAGTGAAGCAAACAAAAAGTCAAACCAGTCCTGCTCAGCCTTTACTATTTGGGTAATAAAGATACTTGTTAAGATGTTCCATCTTTGTCCATTGCATTATTTTTGAAACCTGATAGAACAAGAAACTGTAAGAATTTGCTGAAGCTGAATCTGGAGCAAGAAACACCTGAAACGAATCATACTTCTGTGACCCTAGACTAGTTATGGAAGCTGGATAAGGCAGCACAGTGCTCAAGCGCTCATTTAAGTGCTCACTTGTTCTACTAAAATAATAATGAAAGTTCCAGTTTCATGGCCATCATTCTTGAGAGTTTTAAGAGCAGAATTCACAACCTAGTAGCCTTATTTTTATCCACATTTATGTGAACAGAGAGTAAACTGCAGAGCTAAAATTAACCCCTTATTCCATCATTTAAAGAACTGTTTTTCACAAAAAACACGTTGGAAATGAGGTCAACATGCAATAGCAATTTTTTCCAGTCTGCAATAAATCTGGAACTGTGGTGTAGGTTTTTCAGTCACATGACTATATCCAATTTGAAGCCATCCCCTGGCGCACAATAAATTCAAGGTTTACTGTACTAAGGAATACAAGCCACACTGACCAGAGGCTTCACCTGGAATGAGACATCCTGGATCTACTCCTGCTTGGAGGACAGTTTAAAACATTTACAGAATGCCACTGAGGTATACAGAGAAGAGAGAAATGTCTTTCAAGTTTTTACCACCATTTGTGAGCACAGTTTGTGCTGTATTCACAAGTTAATGCGAAACTATAACCATCTTCTATTAACACTAAAAATTTCTTACTGCCATTTGCAATGTATTTAATTTGCTTTCTGTATTGATTCGTACATTTGTACCTAATATAATCCTTGTGATACAAGCATTATTTCTGATGTTTTAGGATTTCATCCTTGTCCAGGAATGTCTAATTTATCCTCTAAAAACATTTTCAGCACCAGTCAAAACAAGTTAGCCTCAAGAGGTAAAAACAATCCACTTATTCTAAAGGAAATAAACGACAATTTATAAAAAAAAATATGAATAGAACCTTGCTGCTTGAATATTCTCTTACATGAACACTTGAAAGTCTTAACGTAGTTTCTTTATAGCAATTTTTATGTTCAAGTGCTACATGAAACATTAACTTGCTGAATGATCTAACAGAGCAAATTCTTACTGGGGTAAAGGACCAAATAAAAAGAAAAATGTAAACTATTACAAATACAAAATACAGAGTAGAAAATTAATGTAAATGTTAAAATACAAGATGTCACTGAGAATGTTACATACCAACTTACACTGTAAGCATTCAGTGGCAAGAATTGGTTTTTCATCAATTTAGGTGACCTTGCAATATTTCTATGTTGCCTGATTTCTAAGCTTTCTTTCTAAAGAAGTGTACTTTTTAAAGGATTTGACTTTTTCAGTGACAGTCCAGAAGAACACACTACTTCTTCCAAAAAAAGAAGTATATTCTGTTAATATTACTCCTGCAACTTTAGTTCTCTTAAGAGAACTTGTATGTCCCAAGGCAAACACTCCCAGTTTTATCTGAAAAAAAAAAAAAAAAAAAGTCCAAAACTCAAACATCAAACAACTGTCAATATTACTCAGTAAGATGAATCAGAAATCTTTTTTATATTGTGGTCTCTTTAACACAGAACACATCTTACGAGACATTCTTTCTCTCTCATCCTTCAAAGATCTTTATCCCATGCATTGCCTAACAGCAATTTTTATATTTGGTCTTCTAATATTCTTAAATGAAAAAACAAGAATGCATTTCAGATGTGTTCCTTTCCAAGAAGGGAATGCATAGATGCTTCCAAAGCTCAAATATAAGCATCCCTTTAAGGACCATCTTCCCTTGTTTCCCTACCATATTCAGAAATATTCTTTGTGAATATTCATTTTGAACTACAAGAATTCTATTTTTTCTATTTTTCTGATATAGAACCAGTCTAACATTGGTCATTAATAGCCTACCAAAGCATACCAGCACAACGACAGCTGCTTTCTTGTTGTCCAGGAAAAGTTTCATTAGAGCTTATTAAAACAAAAGTTAAATTGAGGCTCTACATTTGGATAAGCTTATTCTGAAGCACTTCTACAAGCAGTACAACAGTTAACACGTGAAATTCCTGGCAGACTCCTCCTAAATGTCTGTTTGTAGGAGAGAAATGGAGTACAACATGACACTTAGCAGCCTCAGAAAACCCCTTAAGTCCTCCACGTATGACCAAACCTGGACTTGGAGCAAAAGCCTAATAAACACTTTGTGCAATCAGTCCACCTGGACCAACAGAGCCAGCAAGTCATCGTTCACACAGGGGTTGTGCTGCTTCACACTGAACAGTCAAATGCAAAAGGATTATGCCACTGTTTATCAACACAACGCACACAGGCTGCAGGGCATTTACAAATAAAGCAATAAAATGTAAAAACAAAAATCAGTTTTGTAGCACATCTCTAGTGGTACCAGTGCATGAGGCATTCAGAATAAACATTCAGAAAGGGGATGTTTCTCCTTTAAAGAATACAGACATGCAGCCAGATTCTACAATAAACTTTCCTTTTCTAAAATTCTATGTACAAGGCCTGTGCAACAATCCTAATTATGCAGTTGCTTAATCAGCAGCGTAGAACTGGCGCTGTGCAGACTCCTTTCACCTCCCTAACACAGATGACAAAAGATAAGGCATGAAGTATATGGATCTAAGATGCAAGGCAAGGTAAGCACCAGCAGACCTAAATATATTTCTGTCTTCCCTATGTTATCAAAGCACATTTTTCTGCTATGCAGTTTTAATCAGATAGAATATTTCCCTAATTTTGTTGAACTCATATTTCAAACTGAAGCATACTATTGAAACTAAGACCTTAATTCACCTGTAATTTCTTTTCCTTACCATTTACTTTGTATCTCCTATCTGTAACAACATATGAATGCAATTCTAATTCTAACCCCTTGTGTCAACTCGTTTTTTTTTTTTTAAACTGATCATATTTCACCAACACAACCACATCTGAATATAAAATCCACAAGAAAAACATATACACATCCTTTTAAAAAACGGAATAGATTTCTAATCATATTCAGCTACATAAGAAGTATCAGAGCAAGTGTTTCATGATAAACATCTAAACTTCTATGAATAAAAGAAAGTAGCTACTTTCATTTTTCTTTCCAAAGACATTCAGTCCATTTCTATAAACTCACACATGAAAGTTACTTTACTCTATGGTTCTGAAACATCTTTAAATATAAAATAGGAGAACATAGTGCAGTGATACATCAAAACCTGCTTTTCCCACACTACAAAGCAGTCTTACCGTTTTAATTTCTGCAGTCTCTGTGTTTATGCTTCCTGAACTGCATTTTGACATCATGATATCAGCTTGTAGATTAATCACATAATTTTCAAGCCTTGACTCTTAAAAAAACAAGAACAAAAAATCTATGAACTATAAAAATTATTTGAAATGGAAATACAATAACAGGATTAATTGTGGTAATTCAGGTGCTTATTAACATTTATATCTTGAGCCTACACCACAACTTGCTGACAGAAACAAAATATTTAGGTTTGCTCTGAACATGAAATATTTTATTTACTATCAGAAACTAAAATTTAAAAGATTTAAAAGAATTTAGTTTAAATGTGCACATACTTCCCTAGTCCTACTTCCAGGTTACTATTAATAATTACTGGCTCATGTGAGAAATAGAAGAGTAGAGTGTTTGATATAATTGCACCATGGTTTATGTAACTGTACTGCTTTTTCCATTCACATGTATTTTCACTTTGAGTTAGACATTAAAAAAAAAAATCAGAATTCAAGCTTCTTTAAACTATTTCAATTTGAAAAGTCAACTCATGAAGAAGCAACAACCATTTCTCTTGAAGTACACCAGTCTTTTTAGTAAAATAAAAATTACTGTGCACTTAAGATGGCGATTTACCCATAAAATTAAAATTCAGAAAGACAGAAATTAATGACCGTGAATTTCTAGACATATTAGCCAAATACATTTATTATGTATTTATATCAAGCATATTATATTTATATAAAACTACAACTTAAAGAAAAAATACCATATTTAAGCAGATCTAGAGTGTTCTTAAAGCTATAAAATAAAAAATTTGCACAATATATACACCTGAAAGTGTGCATTTTGCCAGACCTAAAAAGAGATTGTGAAGACCAATTTTTAAAAATCAATACTGAAAACTTAAACACAAAATGAATCTTGATGAAAATTTCTCCTCCAATCAATTCCATAAAGTTAACAAAGAGGACACTCCCAAGATTAGTTCAGTATGTTCATTTTTACCTCAAACGCTGATGCTGAGGTTTTCCAGAGTCTCCAAGCCTGTAATTTTGTTTCACCCTAGGTAACCTAAAAAGCAACATAAAGAGAGAGCATTTTACCATGAACTGCCATTAAAATCATCGGTGCCATGTGGTAGTCTGCTTTCTTGCATTTTAATATTTAGCTCCGTAGCAAGAGCACATGGTCCTTCAAAATCTAATTATCATATGCCCCTTTTTGGCTAGAGATGGAGACAGTCAGTGTCTGAATGATTACCCCTAAGTGCTCAGGAGATATTTGTATGGTTTTTTTTTCTGCTAAAGTAATTGCTAGCTAAGGCCAACTAGATTCACAGTTTTTCTCCCCTGTGCTCCATGCATGTTTCATCATCCAGAAGCAAATTATTATTCAACACATTTAATAGAGAGATCTGAAAGAATGTATGCTTTTCCAGAAAACAAAGTTAACAGTTATTATTTTATTTTACAAGAATACAAAAGGAATGCAGCACAGAAAAATCCGATAGATACTGCATTCATGTAAAAAACAGAATGACAAAAAATTTACTCCCCGGGCTACATTTTAAATTTGTGTTTGCAGCATACATAACTACATCCTTTATTTTCAGCACAAAATACAGCAAATTGCTTCTAAGATGCAGTAAGCAGAACTTAGATTTATTATAGCAAGTTCCTGTTATGCCTAGGTTATTCATTTATTCGCTTTAAACGTGAACTAGAATATATATTCCATAGAACCAGAAAATAACCTAACAACAGAAAACTGCGACATCCACGGTAAAAATACAGAAATATACTCCACTCTCTATACATTTGCAAGAAATGTTGAAGGGAATAATGCAGCATTTGGATATTCCAGCAAAAAGGAAACATGAACAGAAAGAAAGGTTCAACCTTTGCCAGTAAAGCTAATGCCGCATGTGTGCCTTAACAGAGCAAATTTACTTCACTGCCAAATCGCAGATGGCAAACAAAGCACGGAGACCAGCAGGTAAGATCTGGAGTACCAAAGAAGTCTGTAATTCTAATTCTCCACCGGCACAACCGCTTCCTTCGGCACACTGCAGCCAGAAGAGCTCGGCTTTAATCAATCGATTGGCCGGCAGGAATTACAGTAGGCCCTTTGAATGCCAACCTAAAACCAGACAGGCCACATTCCTGAGATGCAGTCAAGGTCTAGCACAAAACCGCAGCGTATATCACATTAGCATCTAAATGGCGCTGGTGCACCCACTCAGACAAAGCGTGGTGGATCCTTCCCGCGGGCACCTGCCGGGGCCGCGGCCCTCGGACAGCGGCACCGCCGGGGCCAGCGCCGAACATCCCCCGCGCTGCAGCCGGCAAACACTTTATACCACAGTCAGAAAAAGAAAAAAAAAAAAAAAAAAAAAGTTTCATTTTGCTTTCTAGTTTCTGAGGATCTTGTTAAAAAACAAGCAAAAGAGACCAAAAGAAAAATTAGTGACATTTTAGAAACCTAATTTTTAGGAATATCAATGTCTTCTATCAATCAGCAAGGCTCCCCCTCCCTTTCTTTGAATGTTACCTCTTCTTTTAAAAGCTCAGCGTTCACATATTTTATCAACAGGCAGAAGGCAGGAGTTCTAAGATAAGCAGACACTCTGAATGCCTTCCGAAAGACACCACAAACGCAGTAAATACTCAAAGCATTAACATAAAAAATAAATAATTTTCTATAAAGACATCAAGAGGAACATCCAAGGAGTGACACAGCAGGCACTTCTGCAAATCTCCATCGCTCTAGAAATCTGCAAGCGACCACAAGTTACTTCTGCAAATCTCAGCCAAGATCTTCAAGTATCTTGGCTATTTGCTACTGAAACACTACTAACGCAAAAATCAAGTATCCAAACATATCAGAAAATACAGAATACATCAAAAGGTTTCATTTTTATTTCGTGGGTCTGCAATTCAGTCCTTCAAAATAATCACATTGATACCTAACTTGCTATTAAAAAAGAATGGTCAGAAAAAGGATAATTGAAATTTACAGTGTAACACCTCCTGTCACTATATGCAACAGGCTGGATCTGACGACTATCAGCATTCTTACTCTTCAACAACTTGAAATTAAACAACTAGTCCCTGGGGCAATTAAATCACTATTCAAACGGTTAACAACTTGAAAATGAAACTATTTTGTACTAAGTTTTATGCAACTGGACTCTTAAAATCATACGAGTTATTCAGTGAATCTTTAGGCAAGTACAACTAAATTCTAGAATGAACAAAGTCCTGCATGATCTTTAGTGGGTAAGGTAAAAACTGCATTTATGATTGGGAAAAAAAAGTACATCCGGGCTGGCATCCTGCCTCTATAATCACAGCTGGTCGCAGATGCTGAGGGCAAGAGGGAAGAGGCGACTATAGAACAGGACTTATCCTTTTCTTCTTTTTATTCCAGCAACTTCACATTTCAACTTTTGTCTTTGGTTTATTATGGTACAAACAATAAATTTATGCCAGAAACTTTAACTCCCGTCTGCCTCAGATTAATTTGAAAGCAAAATACTCTTTGACATCCAAGGACCTAAGCCTTCATGGAAGTCAGGAAAAAAAAAATTACACTCGGGACACATACAACTCTAGATAAAAACATCTGAACTACACAAACACTTTGAAACACATTTATTAGTTTTAATAGCAATGAGAATTAAATTATGCCACATATTTGAGGGTTTTTCGCTGCATAGAAAAATTGTAGCTTAATGCATAGATTCTAATTTATGGGTAACTATAATATCAGTATCACAAGTCGGGATAACTCACTGATATCTGTGAGTTTATTTGTCATTTGGTCATCTACTTGGGTACCAAATTATTTACTTGTGATTATTTACTTAATTTAAAGGTTATGTTCAAGCTTTTCAGGCACTTAAATCTTTCTACAGGAAGGCAATTAAGCAGACATTACAGAAGGGATTTCTCTCTTCCCCAGTTTGGGGGCAAGCTGTGAGGCAAGTACAGTTCCAAAGCATTAATTATTCTTGCTTTGGATAAGCTTGCTTTGGATTAGCAGCAGCTGCCCTCTGAATACAACCCCATGTAGAGACTTCAATCCCATTATTTGCATAAACATAAACCCTTTCTCTGCATGTGGCTGAAAGTCAAGCTCCTCAAAACATAGGTATTCAACAGTTCACTGTTATCACTGTGCCACAACATCCAAAATTACTAAGTTCCCTACATTACAAAAGGCTTTCTCTGAAGTCAGTAATTGTATGACACAAGGCCAGCAGACACTTGGATTGCAAATCCAGTTCTAAAACTTCTACCAAGCCAAAAATGAGAGTTTAAATCTACTGCAGTTAGCTGTATCAATTTATATACCACCCAAGAACCAGTGTTCAAGTTCTAGCCTTAGTTCCAAAAAAACCACCAACAAAACAAAAAAAATGTATTCATCATGAATGATGAATCAAACCAACTCTTTCCAGTGCAATCTTAAAATATGTATTATATGTTGGTTAGCACATTATTTACTCCACATTTTACACTTTATTTTTAAATTTCATCCTAAAAAAATGAAGACTTCTCACCAGTTACACTACTTGTCTTCACATGGCCTTTCCCTGAAGTGAATTTGTGGGCACACTACTGGAATTTTCTTTTAGGTGAAGCTGGGATAAAAATCAGTATTAAATTCATAAAAATATGTAGTACAAAGAAACTTTTTTCCTCCCAAATTCAGAAGACATTCAAAGCTCTTCAACTGCCACAGAATTCACCAGCAGAGAGAAAAAAACCCCACAACGACCAAATACATACTTGATTATTTTACTGAAGGAAAAAGTACGTGAATAACTTCAAAGACATTTCCATAGGCCCATCGGGTTGCTCTTTTTTCGTTTCGTTTTTTGTTTGCTTGCTGAGTTTGTCTCCTTTTTTCTTTTGGAATATGAAATAATACGTAAAGGTGAAGATGCTACCCAGGTTGAGTCGACATACCTGGAGGTGTTTAACAAAATGTGTAGATGTGGCACTTACGGACATAGTTTTGTGTGGACTGGGCAGTCTTACACTGAAAGCTGGATTTTACGGGTCTTTTCCCTAAATCATATGGAAGATATAGTATTTCCCTCTATGTAAATACATGCATTTAGACTAGAACATGAGCATTCCTTCATGTTCTTAACAATTAAACCAATGTAAGGCTTCAGCAGCTCATATCAATTAACTTTTATCTTTAAATGCAATCTTTATTTTTCAATATTGCCCAAAAAAGCAAACATTTGCACACTGTCTAGGGTTCAAAAGTGGTGAGAAGCCATAAGTATTACATTTTGCCAGGACAATGCTTCAAGCCTCATGTAGCATTTTCGTTATCACAGGTTATCTGTAGCACTACTGGCCTTCCAGAACAACTGATACAATAGTGAAACTGAATCAAAAATATTCAACAAATTACTTGGCAAAAAGGTAGTGACAGAAGAACTGAAGTCCTTATCTAGGTTAATACTATAAAAAATACCTGGGAGATGAAACATGCTTGTTCAGTATACTGTGAGTCCTGAACTATTGGTAAGAAAAAGTGGAACAATTTGCACAGATTTGAGGACTTCCTCTTATACTAAGTAATTCTAAAGGTTTTTATCTTCAATTAAAGCTTCTTTTTTAATAGATGCCTTAAATCAAATTATTAGGTTTAGGAGTAAATATGGAATCTCAACTGAATCTGAAAAATAAAAATACTTAAGATCCAAAAAAATGTGATGTGGACAGCTTCTTTTCCCCAATATGTGGGGTCATAGGTGTCTAAACATTGACTGAGAAGCCTTATATTTTCTTCCCTTCTTTGAAATCTTTTCATATTGTGATCAACCATGAAAGCTGGAACAAGGTCAAACATCACTGCTAACAGAGGAGGTGGTTTAACCAGCTCAAAGATACCTTAGCTCCAATCCTGTTGCAACTAAGCACCACTAAACCCTGCGGTGCAGAGATCCAAATCAGAAAACACCCGTTCCTGATTCATCCATCAATCTTCCACAGTAGCAGAAGAAATGCAAGATGAAAAAGAATAAATTGAGATAAAATAGGTATCCCTGAGAGAATTCTGAGTGTATATTGATAGGTATCTTTCCCTAATGCAGAATACAGTCCAGTGCGGCATTAGTCCAATTTCCCACATTAGATCTGCTCACAACATAAATAGTGATGGATACTCTTAACTATGCGGGTTAAAAAAAAATATATCCAAGTTGTTCCTACTCGTTGAATGATAACAAAAGCATCAAAAACAAATAAGCTGTTTGCTACAACCATCATTTAAAAAAAAAAAAAACCCAGGGAGGTAACTTTTTACCTTTCATTTTTCAGAACGGAGCGAGAGGTATTTCTGCATATATGCAAAAGCATTCCCAGATATGTAAACGACAGGATTGTTCCAGACATTAAAGCAGTTACTGGATACAGCATTTACTGAATACTCATTTAATGATTATAGAGGCAAGTTAGAAGGAAAGAAATTAAATTACTGTAAAACAATTCCATTTTTTATTATCTAAAACTACTCAGGCCTGAGAAATAATTTTTAAAGGAGTTAAGTCTCTGTAAATGGTGTAACTGAGGGTTTCTGACAATATGTTGGGTTCTGGAAGCAACATAACTAAGTTAATATAGTACTAAACCTGTCAATTAACTCTTCTGCTAAGCACAACTCAGAATTAATATATTCCTATATTCGTTTCAATTCCAGACCCTGTTTGTATTACTGGCAAAATATTACATTAAAGGAGACACACATATGTACATGACCCTAGTCCACAGCCATCAGTTGAAGAGAGTTCTTTTTTTCTGTAGCATTAAAATAGATAGTCCTGTAATTCAGTCAGTTGTGAACTGCATTTTCAGAACAGAACACAAACATACAAGTATGAGTAGAGACACTTATCTCTGAACAACATAGCAGATTTTGCTTTATTCAGGATTACCAGCTCCACAAACCCTGGTTATCAAGAAATAGAAAATACAAAGCCAAAGAAAGAATTCCATCCTGATCTTACCACATTAGCTGTAGTTTGCATCGATGTTGCCAAACCACCAATTATTATGCCTGGTATCATCTAATTACCAGAAGTACAGTAGCCTGATTGCAGCAACATTAAGTAGCCAACATCAAGCAACTATGAGCAAAATCTCTGAGGGGTTAATTCAGTAGTTCTCAATTTTCAGAAAAAAATGCACCCAAATTCTGTGAGGCTGACTGGCAGCTGCATTGGCAGAGCCTGGACTACCTCCCCTTTCTGCTGCTGCTGCTGTGCTCAGCTTCTACTTTGGATATATTAAGACCTACCAAAAGAAAACACTAAAACAGCCTGGCAAGTACATTCCTGGTGACTGACAAGTAATGACCTGGAAAACACAGAAGAATGAGATAAGCAGTAGAACACATCTCTACCATTTTAAATGTGGGAAACAAATTCACACACAGTCTCTCACAGTTATCACTGTATTACTCCTCCAGTCTGGGCAGCTCTGCACATGCATCAATTCTTTCACTTAATGATGAGTACTGGATTAAGAGCACTTTCTTACCCTCATTTATTCTCACAGTACCCTGCAGATGACCAATGCCAGCAGGTCAGACTATGTTTCTCCAGAGGTCAATCAAACCCAGACTCTCTGAAGACATCCCTGAAGCAGCACAGAAATGAAGGGCAGCTGTAATGAACACACAGTCAGACCGCCTGGATCAGAAGAAGTACTGGTAGCATGCAAGCGACAAAGAACTCCACCTAGTTATGAGGGAATTAAAGGAAAGGAGAAATTTTCTAGAAGCAAACCAAAAAAAGACATGAATGCAATCAAAGACTTGGAAAAGCTGAGATATTTCAGATTTTTAAAAAAGAAAAAAAACAAACCAAAAACCTCCAAACCTTACTAAAAGTCTTTAGATATCAAATAATTTATCAACAAGGAATAATCAAGTGTTTTTAAGTAAATTAAAAACTGACATGCCAATATAGCAAGCCAAATTAAATCAGAGACATTAACACCCCTAATTTTGAAGTATAATGGTAAACATGCCAGATTTATACTGGGAAATCTTACATCTAGGGTTATTACAAAACTACCCTATTAGTTGGGAATTTACATTGTTTTTGTAGTTTTCCGTAGAAACAAGTGCATCCACCCACTTTTAAGGAAATTATATCCATTGGTATCATTTAGGCTGATCCACAACATAGGCATCTCACTAATTAGGAGAATAGCACCACAACCATCAACACTGCAGTAATCACACCATTTACCTTATTAATTGTTAAACTGAATTATGTAGAACAACTTTCCCCTGCATACTACGGTGTATTTGGAAAGAATTTGTAACTCAATTAATGCAAGCATATTACATTTATAATAAATAAAAGCTTAAGTTATTCAGAATAAATATTTAAATACAACTGACTTTCAATTTCATTGACTAATCATCTGCTTTCATCAGCTAATGAGCAGATTATTTGAGTAGGCATACACAGATGCATTAAGAAGCCTAAAGAGGCAGATAATTGATGACTTCCAGAATGACTTAAGCAGATTAAATGCCTAACTTTCAATGGAGATTTCCCTCTTCTTCCTCAGCACTGCTTTCTCCACCCTGAACACGAGGTCTCCAACTTCTGTTTAGCTAATGATTTTAAGAAATTACCTTTTTCATAATTTCCTAATTTGCAATTCAAGCTACTTCAAATGCATACTAAAACTGATGAAAAGCCACCAAACCACTAAAGGGAAAAAAAAGGAAAAAAAAACCCAACCCTCTAGGCCCCTAAGACTTACAATAGAAGTAGTTTTAAAATGAAATTTTAAAGGTATGTGATCTTTAAGTTAAAAATTGAGTTTTACCTTGTTGCACAGACAAGTCGCTAGAGAAACTGAGACTAATCAACTAAAGCAAGCAAGTATATTGAAAAGGAAAAGTGCCTTAAATCCTTATGAGCAAGCTGTTACTGAGAAGAGAGGCCTTACTAGTCCTCTTTTAGAAGGATTAAGAACATGGCATATGCAGAGGTTTTACATCCCATCATTTTAACAGATCAGTATTTCACTTTAGCTTTCTCAAATATGCTTATAAAAATCTGTAGCTGGTTGTACAGTCAAATTTTTCTAATAAATTTCTGATGTAAACAAAGTACAGGAAAGATTATTTTCATTTTACCACTTTTCTTTCATTTTCACTCAGCATCAAGACAAAACACCATATAAAAGAGGTTTCCTGATCACAGCTTACCACATTTAGTATGCATGGTTATTCACCCAAAGCATCATTCTTACACTCTGCCTCCACAACTGTTTCCAAGTAATCAGCAACCACATCTGAGTCAGACCATAACACAATGAAAATCACACAGAATAAATTGTTTCTTAGATGAATTAGACTTGTTAATTTACTTTACCATAAAACTTCAGAAATGCTTGCTCCAATGAAGCTTAACAACAAATACCAGGATGTGAGGGGAAAAAGCCCGGATTTTTTTCTAGGTAGAAATGCCATCTAAAATGCATGCCAACCGAGAGCCTCAGATACAGGTACCTACACTTCTCAGGTGCCTAACAGGAAAAAAAAAATTACTGTTTTGAGTAGCACTCTGTGATCATGTATCCCCTAATTAGAATGTAAAATTTTAAATAATCCAAAGTCTTCTGATTTTGTCTTTCCAATTAACCCTGTGACAGTATCATATTCAATACTGAAAATACTCCTTGCCTTAAGCATTGGCTACTGCTTCATATGAAAATTACACATACACTCAAACACTATTCCTAAAGTACCAAAGGAAACGGAAATTTGTAAACATTGTTTACCTCTTAAATCCAACTGGATACAAGAGTTTAGCCCAGACTCAACTGCTCTACTCCTAACATTGAAAAGTACGTTGTTTACATTTTGGACATTCTTGCTTAAAGATCCAATATACTCATCTATGATAAGTTTATCACAGCTGCGTGGTATGACCATTCAATTACATGTTTTAACAAAAACTGCAGTATATTTTTACCATAAATTTGAGTTTAGCCTATGGAGATAAACAAACAAACAAAAACATTAAAACCATGGTTTGGAAAATCTGTATAGCCTAAGCCCACCCCTAGTTCCACTCTGAAGGCAAATTTATGGGGTGGGGAGAAACATCTTATTCAAGCTGGGGGTGGGGGGAGCAGATCAAACAAGAAAGGTTTCCTGATTTGCAAAGGTAACCTACCTTTCTCAACTACTCCAACTTGTTACTTCTCAACTTCCCACATAATTATAGAGCAAGTTCTGCTCTGGATAGTGTGGAGTTCTAAAGCTCTCATTTTAAGTGAGTGATTACAAATCTCCACCAGGTTCACAGTAAACATACTAGAGAATTGTTTGGTTTTGTTTGGGGACAATGACGGTTGCCTTTAGGACTTTGGTTTTTTTTTTTAAATCAGGAAAATGATTTCCCCTTCCCTCACTAAAATGGAAACACTGAGCGTTAAAGAGTGTTTAAAGCTAATCAAATTATACCCAAGATCTTGAACATATCATTACAAAAAAACCTCACCCCACCACTTTTATAAGAATGGAAAATTGGATAGAGGAAAACATTCATTTTTAATAAAATTTAATAACTTGAAGTTAAATCATTGATTTGTATCTAATTGTATAGTGCCTTGGAACATATAATCACTACGTTTCAGGCAAAAACGAAAATAAGTCCTAGAACTTTAAGCAGTTTCTTGTACAGATTCTTAATTATGGAGTCACAACTACAAATTACCACTAGGTAAAAATGAGACGTTTCAAACTAGGCATAACTTCAGATGTGAATTTTTCAAGCTAATAGCTAGTCTAAGTGTTCCATCTCGATTACTGCACTGATTATAGTTACTTTTATTAAAAAGTTATTTATATCTCAGAATAGTACTTGCTAAAGAAGTGTTAGTAAATCCAACTGAATTTTATTTCATTTTCACAGCATAATTTTCCTCTCACTTTGGTTCTTATCCTGAATTTACCACAGCCAATTTTTATACATGACCCCATGAAACTACTGTCATAACACACTTGTTTATAACAACAGCTATTAACAGTAAGTGAGAAAGTACAAAGTCGATAAAAACATGGTACACTTATTTAAATTTATTGATGAGAAGTAGCAATTTGAGGTTAGTTTTCATGAGACTATAGATCGAAACTGATGAAAAACTAGTTGTCAATGAAGCAACCCCACTGTCAATGCTCCTTCCCTTCTCTAACAGCTTTGACACTTGTCTGCCTTTCCAGGAGAAAAATAGTTCAGGACAATATAACAAGTGATTTTTTTTTCCTTGACCTAGGCAAGTTTCCTACTGGCTCAGCAAGCTGAATTAAGCACCTGATATGGAGCACAGAAGTATTAGAGCTGGCATGAGGAGGAGGTTGTCATCCCCTTTGACAGCCACTTGAACACCTTCATTACAGAAAAAAAGGAAATTGGATTCAACAGGTTTTTGACCGTGTGATTTAAAATCAGACACCAGCTTCTTTTCTCTATTGCCAACTGCTGCTGAACTGTGTTATACTAAAATCAGTAAAAACTCCAAACCCAGAACTCCTTCCTGTGTAGTCCAAAATTATTTAAATGGTGCCAGAGGAAACACCTAGAGGCAGCATACTGCAGTAATGGGATGAACCAATAAAAGGTTTTAACAACTCCTAATAGCTGGCAACGTATACATTAATGGCATACTACTCCAAATGCCTGCCAGAAATCAGCAGCTGCTTCATCATTATGCCAGTCACTACATGCCCTAAAGTCATTCAATAATTCCTTGCAGACCCTCATCAGCTGAGGTAACAACTGGCCAGTAGACAGTCTTAACGAAGCATTAATTTTGTCACTAAAAACTCAGCCTGTATTCAGTTTAGGCAACACAGTCATTAGAAGACCATTTTCCAGACAGCTTACTATTAATCAAGGCAGGTTTAACTTCTTAACTTAAAACATAGCAAAGCATTAACTATGCAAGGATTACAACAGGGAAAACTGCTCATCTCCTGGAAGTTGATCATATGTCTTTCAAAGACCCAGGCAGGTCATAAATGACTTTGGCATTCTTCCAAACCTTTTTTCAATTAAATACTTGAAGATAAAAATGCATTACTTTCCTAAAACCTACTACACACTTTCTCCTCCAGAGCTTCATCACCCATCATGCCTCAAACTCGTTGCTCTCGAATTGCTCAGTAGGTGGTACAGCCACACTCCTGTGGTGGAAGATTTCATTAACTCAGAGCCTTTGTGACTGATTACACAGCAAACAAATGAACTGATCTATTCAGAATATAAGGATATACTGGGTATACACTTCTGGCAATACCTGGATATGTTTATTTTTTGATTTATAATCTTCGAAAGCATACAGATGGTTTCTTGTTGCCCTGTCACTTACAGCTTGCTATTTTTCTTTAGTGTCAGTGAACTCCTGAGGCCAATGTTGCTAGAGTTCAATATTCTTTATAAACAATGAACTTTCCTCATACGCTTTTTTAACAAGTTGTAAAAAATTGTAAGGCAGTCTATGAAACCTTGCTGACAGTAACTGCAGAAATAATGAAAAAGATACAAAGGCAATCCCTTGGCTCACAGTAACATGCTTCTGTCACTTCCCCCTTACAGTCTCTGCCATACATGCTGACTCTGTTCATTAAACTGGTAGAAAACATTCATATTCCAATTTTCCTCCTATTTTGTCTCACAGAAACAGGAAAATATAAGCAGAAAGAAGAACAAATGACAAAAAACCACACATCTTGGGGACTCAAAAAACACAGAAACAGATTGAAATGTTTGCTTGTTAGAGGGTTTTCTGTTTTAAGAAGTAGTGTACTTTTTTATACCCGTTATCTATCTCCAACAGTAATTTAGTTTCTACAGTCTTGGCAGTCATTGAGATAGCACTACATCAGACACCAAGAAACATGAAAAACTATCTTCAGTAGCTGGGGGGAAGGGAGGAGCACTGATTTTATTCCCCAAAACAAATTGTAACAGAGGTCATATCCCTTCTTTAACAACTTTATATAGCAAGTTGACAATATGGGCATTTAACTTTGGTTGAAAGATGACAAAAGTTGTAGGTCACTATAAAAAAAATGTACTGACCAGAGCTTTTGCTTGTATTGTAAGCACTAACATTTTTTGTCCTCTTCCAAAAACAAAACCCTAGTAGCCACTAACCATGAAGGTATAGTAAAGCACAAGTTTGCCTGCTCAGAAATACACAGCTTCAGTGAAGAATTAAGTCTTGCTTCAGATTGATCCCAGACACTAATATCCTGAATAAAGAAGAAATAGTATCAATTAATATTATGAATTCATAAAACCCCAGTCAGTAAGTCAGATTAAATACATTTAAATGTTTAAATGTATACAGAATATAAACATCTCGAAAAGGTCTTTTATTTATGCACTTGAAAGTTAAATTCAAAAGAGGAGGTGAAAACAAAAACACCTGAATTAACTTGCCAAAATTAAGTGAGAGGAGTTAGGTCTTCTATGGTTTGAATGCTGTCTAGAATTCAGATCACTTCTAAAAGTTTTTACTACAAACTACAAGGCAACTTCACCTTTAGATAGCTAAGTCTTTTTCATTCACTTCTGCTTGAACAAGAATATATAGAGTGAAAATATAAAAGGCCAGTAACAGTTCAAAGACAGCCGTAAGAAGCTTGATCTAAATCAGAAACAAAGCAGACTTTGCAAACAGAAGAGAAACATGAATTGCAAAGGTAGCCAGCCCAGACATGCTTGCACAGCCAAATCACCTCAATGGAGTTAAACAAATTAACTTTGAAAAGCAAAATGTATTTACCTCACTTCCTAAGGAAGGGAGATTTATGCAATCAGTAAGTGGGCAGGTCTAAAACTCCAATTCAGCTTTCAAAAATAAAATATTTATTAAAAAAATCCTCAATTCTTACATTTACGACCAACTTCTTTACTGCTACCCAGCTACTTACTAGCATCCCAGCTAAGGAGAAGGCTTGACAAGTTATCAAGAATTAGAATCCAAGAGACAGGCACTGGAAATCAGGCTTTAATAACTAAAATAAGGGGTTGGTTCAAACAGGCATTTGGGGTTGAGGTTTTCTTAATGCTTGTATGTGCATTTGCACAAAGGAAAAAACACAAGGATACTGATATTTAAACCAAACAAAAATCCCAAGGCCAGCTAAAACAGTCCCAAACTGAGCACCTCTGTTTCCAGCAACCAATCCTTCAAGTTAGTAGCCACCCTGCTGCTTTCTCAGATCTCTCACGGTCATTCAACGAACCCAAAGAAATGAATCCTTTATGAAGAATAACAGAATATTTAAGACATGGGCAGAAACTGATCATGCCAGCTTACATTACAGAAGTACTGAGTAACTGACATAAAGGGAAGACAGCACAGTAAACCAGGATTTCCTGCTACCATCAGCAAAGATCAAGAGAGAACAGTTTTGATTTTTCGTCTTGGTAAGAAAGAACTCAGTAGTAACACCCGTGCCAACCAAAACACAGATCACAGACTGACAAGTGTATTGCACTTAAAGGAAGGGCCACAACAAGCAGTACTGAAGTCTCTTGGATCCAGGACAAGAGAAAGTGGAAAATATTGCTCTTTCTTCTCTCCCATCAGAGAACAGCCTTTCAACACCTGCAGGCCTTCAACACCTGTGCAACAACACAAATTCCTTGACACAAGTTTCGATTCTCTGCTTCTTGACTGTATGATTTTGAAGGTGACAAATATAACAGAAAACTGATTTAACTAATGCAATCTGCAATATAGAGCAGAAACAAGAGAATTCCAAATATACTGCTCAGCTTGCAAACTTAAAAAATTATGATGTTACTAGATAAGCATGCAAGAACTACCAAAACCAAGAGTTTACCTAATATAATAACACGGCATACATTAAAGTGGGCACTGCTTTGCTCTCTAGATTAAGTCTTCTAGAATGTTTACTTTAATAACAGTCCTAAAGACACCATACCCCCAATCAACACAATTTAAACACCAAAACTCCAAGTATCAAACACTGTAACTTCAGCTAAAAATTAACTTTTAGTTTTTACTAAATATCAACTTTCTTCTCTTCTGGTTTATCGCAATACATGTGGATACTCACAAAAGGCTAGTGGATGAGAAAAAATGTCAGGAAGGTATAAAGCAAAATCACGCCTTCTGATCTACTCCAACTATTCTTAACCTTCAGGATATAGCATTCCAAAAGCACACTGCATACATTTTATAGAAGTTCCTGTTTTACACAACCGTGTAATTGTATTTTTACTTTCTTTAAAAGTAGCACTTCCTAAAATATATATAAATAAAACCAAACTTCTGCTATCCGTCTGAAGAAATTACTTGAACACATCAAGGTGATGGGATACAGATGGCGAGTGGTTGGTTACACAGTCAGGCACCAGGACACAGGAGCCACCTTACTGCTCTGCCAAGAACCTATCACACTCAGTACAGTCCCTTGTTTGCACTAACTACATGAGAGGGAAAAAGAGAGAGAATTATTATTAGCATATTCAGAGAGTATTATGGAACAACAGAACAACTCATCTCAGAATGTTCTGAAGTTCTACCTGCTGCCCGATAGTGATGCCTTTTCACTGGCCCTAAAATAATGAGCCAGACACTGTTAGGTGATAAAAAGGGGTTACCTTCACAAGGATCCTTATGGGAAACACCATGCTGGATGAAAAGCACTGAAGATGCACATGTAACACAAGGGGGATACAATTTTTATAAGTTTAGCAAATTAGCATAACTGACAAGAATTTCCAATTAGAGACACAAGTGATGAGTCAATTCCTCCCTGGTTCTACCCCTTTCTGAAACTCTCCCCCAGGATAACAAGTACACTTTGTTCATGAAAATGTGTTTTGACAAGTCATTCTGACCACAGTTCCCAGAGAACCTAAACTTGAACCCCTAGGGCTTGGAGCCACTGAGGAACTTCTTGTGTCTTTCTGTCTAATGGAGAAGGTAAAATGCTAGCTATAAATGCAATAATAGGCTACAGAGATACAAATATATATGCAAAGAAGGCAAAACTCAATTCGATATCAATAGATTAACCCAGGCCCCAAAATAAAAAATCTGTCTGTAGACTTAGCACTTACTATAATGCTCATAACTCCCTAAAGCCCTAAAATCCTTTTCAAAATCTTCCTGAACTCTTGCTCTCACTTATATTCTACAGCTTATCTAAAGAGAAACCAAACTATTTCAGCTGTTTTATCCATTTTTCCTAAAAAAACTCTTCCTTCTTTTAAGAATGCATGTGTTTTCATTTTGTTTTGCCAATAATTTGCATTCAGTACAGATCAATGCACATTTGGTCAGTTCATACCGAAAGCCAACACGGGTCAAACTGTGATACTCAGACTCTGAGCACCTGTGCCGAGGCAAATCCATACACTGTGAAAAAGTGGCCAAGTACTTTACTTTACGTTTTTAAGGTGGGAAAGGAGAAATATCTACAGACAACATAACAAACCCCCATGAAAATGCACTTGCTTTTGAACTGCAGGTTTTAGGTTTTTTCCATTTGTATGCTAGAGATGATCAAGGTTATAAAAAAAAGAAAGAAAAAAAATTCTAACTTCTAGAAAAAACATTAGTGTAATATAACAGACAAAACAGCTTGGTTGGGTTCCCCCTACCAGTAACCAGTGGAGGACATGTATGGAGCTGTATAATTGCACGGCAGGCAGAAGCAGCTTCCACGGACCAGCCACCTTGGTGTTTGCCAAGACTGAAAAGATCCTCTTGATTTTATAGCCTTGCATGAATTTCCCTACAAATCAATTGTTTCAACTGCCTTGTAAATTTCTGGTATACCCAATAGACTGATGCACCATGTCTTTCAGTTAAACACAGTACAAAGGAGTATCACATTTGTGTTCAGCCTGTAGGATACAGAAATCCTTCAAAACAGGAGAAATAAGCAGACAACCAACAACACTTTCCTCTTCTATTTTTTTCATAACTCTCTTTGTGATGTTTGGTATCCCTTCACTGGTATGTTCTTCCTCATGTAAAAGGTCCCATTCAATCTATGCTTCTCTTAGCCTTCCTAAAGCAGAAGAGAAATAAAGAGAAAATACCTAAACTGCATTTAATATTAAACATATGGACTGAGAACAAGTTTATACAATGACATATTGATGTCACTGCCATCTCAGTTAATCATCAATTCTTGTATTAATCAATTTCTGGCCGCCAAGTACTGACCTGCCACTTTCACAGAACTGTATAATCAGGATGCTTTGAAGAACAGCAGTAGCTAATTCAGGGTCTACACTTCTAAATATATATTTCTTAACCCTACCAATTAATAAAGTAACAATCCAATTATTAAACATGTAAAAAAAGCACCTTCCAGCTGAAAACTGCTAGTAGCATCTTCAAACCTCACAGACCACAATGTGGAGATAGACAATAAGAAAGACTCTCTTAAGAGAGGAGTTTAGGAGAACAGTTATGAAATGAGTTTGTATCTGTATGAACTTGCTAAAACAAGCACTACCCCCACCTACAAAACATATGCGTGCAGTCAGCATTTCAACAGAGCAACATCAAAAATACTCAAAGATGATCTGAGGTGTCAAACATCCTCCGGAATGTTAGCAGATAGCTGAGATTTCCTATTCACTTTGAGAGTTACTTTTATTAAACACTAATTTCTGCTTGAGCATAATGCACACAGAAAATACCTTTTAGGATTTTTTGGTCAGATACCAGTATCACCCGCCCATTTTCTACTCATGCGGGCTATTTATATATTACCTAACATAGAAACCAACAAAGTCCTGTGCAAAAATATATGTCTCTTTAACCTTTCACTTTTCAACGGATATTCACACAGTACACAGTCTGCCATAATCACGCTGCCTTCATTTACCCTGCAAAAGGATGAAAAGGAAGCAAAGAAGAGAGCCAAGA